AATTGGTTTTGAATAACATTGCTGATATCAGATTCTGTTGAAAAGAAAAATTCAGCGTAACCGCAGGTTCCAGGATGCAGTAGAAATTTGGAAAAACACCATGCAAAGAAACAACAGAATGGGACACAAGATCTAATGTGAATGTCTCCTGTTTACAACTTGGTTTTCAAAATTGTAAAATAGAGGGTTTGGAAGCTTAAAAACACGTCTTCCCATAGATGATCCTGTTAAAGCATCCATTTGGGTGCTAATCACACCAAGTATCCGAGTACCTTCTTTTTCCATTGCCGCTCTTCGTATGGAAAAGTATTCTCGGCTATCCATTTCCATTTCGCTATCCAACCTGCAAGAGTTTCCTGGAGGTTTTAACCAGCTGCATTGGACATAGGCACTCCAGAAATACAAATCAATGCTGATACCAACAATACCTCATAATCAAAGAAGACCAACCAGCATATCCTAAAGAAGTAAGGTGTTCAATGGTAACATTTCGCTGTCTCTCAGGCTTCCTTGATAGCAGAACCAACGGCCATTCTCTGGACTGAAGTTTCCTATATAATTCCCGAGTATGCAGGTGCTTCAGACAGGCTGCATCACTAGATTCGCAACAGCCAATTTGGTTGAACCTGAGCCACAACACGATTTTATCCTGGTAAGTACAAGCAGCAAAATTGGAAGAAAGACATTCAAACGTGACGATTGAGGGGATTTACTGGTGCATTAATTGATTGGTGTACTGAGGATCTGAAGCAAGGATGTCATCTATGTCCATCAACACCACATCCAGACGATCATGTGATGGTGAAACCGTGTTGAGAAAACTTTCAATCATCAACATTGTGAAATTGAAATCTCGTGCGTATTGTCCTCCTTTGATATATTGAATGGCAAAACTCCTGCAGACTGGAGGAACCTCATTTGCTTCCAAGCCGTTGAGCTCCCCATGCAGAGAAAAAATGTTGCAATAATGGTAACTATCACTTGATTTCTCAATCTCCACAACCCCCTTGCACCTACTTTCACAGGACTGCAGCATCACCGCAAATGTGACCAGCAAAGTTACTAATAGAACCCCAACAGTTGCAAGACCAGCAATGAAGATTGTTCCAGCAAAAGATGTCATGTAGAATCCCGATTCAACCAGATGGCGGCTTCCCATCTCTGTTCCTAAGGAGAACGACAAAGATTAATATGATTTATGTCAGACATTCAAAAAGATCAGCAGTAGCAATCATACTGCAATCATATAAAGCAACATCCACTGATGGATGCCTCTCAGGAAAGGGTGTTCTTTCTAATTTGTGAATCAAACAAACTGTTCAAATCCAAAAACGATAGTAAAATCAAATAAGGGACTACATACCAGTATCTCCCCTACTTAAGAGACTCTGAGCGGAGAACTCCCGCTCCATTTGATGGCCATAAGCTGACATTATGATTCAATCTAGCCGGATAGCAGGCAAATATCTCCAGATCCAGATCCCTTCCAAATCATAGAAGGGTCACCTGCAACAACAAATAACAACCACCTGATATTAAATCCTCCACCATCAGCTAGATGGTGGCAATCACAGGTAGAATAATCAACACAGAAATCCCAAATAAAGCAAAAAAACTTACAAGCAGCTTCATCTACCATGGGATGAGCTACCAGTAGCTCATCTCAACTTCACTGCCCAAGCATTTACCCACAAAAGAAAAGTGTAGAAACAAAAGAAAAGAAAAATCCCTCAAAGTTGCTCATCTTTCATACATAAGAAATCAGAAAAGTAATCACTGACAGAAAACTATGTTGATAATTGACAACCAACCAAGATCACCTTCTCTCTTTAAGCCACAGCCAAAAGACCGAGGAATCAAGTTAGACATGACAAAACAAACAAACATTCCATTTTTTATTTAATATGTGTTGTAAGTATCAAAAGGGTCCACGAATCTTCAGCTTATCAGATATAATCACAATAGTCCAAATCTTGCAGACAAACTCACTGCTTAAAGAGAGCAGTTTGGTAAAAAGAATAAAGCAACTTCATGACTTAAACACCATAAGACATAAAACAAAGCAGAATCCAACCAAATCAAACTCTGATGCAATTATTTAATGCAAAAAATTGATGTTTTTCCATTATCTTAAGCAAGAGAGAGAGAACCTGAGAGAGGCATTTGAAGAAATCGGAAACTGTGGAAGAGAGCAAAGGTTGAGGAATCGAAGCATTGAATAAACTAGAAGTTCAAAAACCTGATCAAGACATGTTAATAACAGCTGTGTCTTTCTCGTAGGGAAGCTTCCTTCTTTGTACTGCATTAATGATTGCCGATGGCTTTTTACCAATGAAGATGATGAGTTTAACAGGTGATGACATTTTGCCCAGTCTTTTTTGCTAAAACCAAGCGGTATAATTGACAGCAAAGAGATTATTCCAGGGCTATTTTGAGAAATAAGAAATTAATTTAGTCCTTTTCATCAAAAACTCTGACCATTTATTTATGTATATAATAAGATAATTCTTGGGAACCACAATCTCATTAACGCTAAGCAAATGGGCGCTTTGCATATGGCTCCACCAACAGTGCTGGACAAAAGGAAAGTAGATATTTTTAATGTTTTAAAGGTTGTCAAATGTTGCTGTCTGGTCTGGTGGGTGATGTGTAACTGAATTGCTATTGGAACACCCGGCGTAGACGCCGTCTCATGTCAGTAATGTTTTCATACCCAAAATTTATCTGATCCTAGTCCATTTTCTAGAATTAAGATGGCGGTGGTCAGTGGTAAACTTCATAGTAAAAAAGTTTTACCACTTGCTGGTAAACATAGTTTTCCTGCAATGTAAGATACTGAACTTGATCAAGAATCTACCAGGTTTTCATTAGAGAGCAATGGGGGAAAAATGGATAACAGTTATTTTCGATTGCAAAATTTCAGCTCAGAGTTCATTCCACCAACGTTCATGATATAAGAATCACTTCAATTAGTACAAACATTTGACCAGTAGGGAACAACATGAGTAGTTCACTTGAACCCTGTCTGATTTTTTCTTTCAAAAGTATTACACTTCATCATTTTATCATGAAACCACCCATCTCATGTGGTGCAATGAACAATAAATTGCTGGTTCAACAATTTGTTTCCCAGCTATGTCTTTCAACTACATGTTTCTAAGACTTTGGTTCCGTTTATGACGTTCACAGTTGAATCTACTGTCCTGGCTAATTCAACAGCTGCTCCAACATAGGAATGTGGTGTCAACTTCAAAAGCTGGGTCTTAGCTTCTTTGGGTAATTCCAAGCCTTCAATGAATTCCCTTATACTTTCTTTGGTAACTGCCCTTCCCCTGGTTAGCTCCTTCAGCTTCTCATAAGGCTCTGGAACACCATATCTCCGCATGACCTGCACATAAGTTAAAAAGCAAAACAAAAATGAAGTGGATTTTGTAAGAATGAAAAAGGAGTTTGTGAATTTGAGCACTAGCATCCCGTGCAAGCAACTAACATATCAACAGGAAAATCTAACCTGCTACTTCTTTGTGCTTAAAAAAAAAGATGAATCAAGATACAAAATGACACAAGAAGACCAGAAGATACTTACTGTCTGTATTGGCTCTGCAAGTACCTCCCATGCCTGGTTCAAGTCTTCACTCAACCGAGCTTCATTAACCTGGAATAAAAAGGTAGTTTAAAAGGGATGGTATGCAGCACAACAGGCATTCAGAATAAAGCACCCAATTCTACAACTTGGAGAAGATTCAGCAAGAGCTGTTGCTTCATACATGATATCAAGCTGCAAACCATTATGAGTTGAAGAAGACATACTATTGTGCCTTACCACTAGTCATTGATGTATCACAGAGTCCAAATTATCACAGATAAACAACCAACATATTGCACCTATACTAAAGCCCCTCACTACATAAACATAGCACTAAAATAATCACCATGCACTCCAAGGACATTGGAACTTCTTTATTATGTTGCATACCTGGAGCTTTGCTATTCCTTGTAATGCACTTTTGTAAGCAAGAAGAGAATGACCTAGTCCTCCCCCCATGTTCCTCAAGACAGTTGAATCCGTCAAATCTCGCTGCAAATACAACACATAACAATATATGTATTATTTGTTAGAATAGACTCCTATAAATAAGCTATGAACTGTACATACATGAAATTCAGCAGCTATCTAAAACCGCATTCTATGGCTTAGTTTATAATTACCCAGTTATGAACTTAGGATCCCAAAAATTTGGTACATAGATTTAGTTTATTATTATCTGGCCAACTACTGCAGCTATAAATGGATGCATGAACTCCACTGAGCAAATCACAAGTACCAACTGCCGGTTTCTGTGCTACATGATAAAATTGTAGCACTAACACTTTAGGTAGTTGGGCCAACAACCTAGGGTGAAGAATATAAAATATAAACTAGAAACTGGATATGTTCTTACCTGCCAACGTGAAATAGGCAACTTCATACTCAGGTAAGATAGATCTTCATTAGCCTTACCAAGATTACCTTCACTGTTCTCAAAATCAATAGGATTTACTTTATGAGGCATTGTTGATGAACCAATTTCACCAGCCTTAGTTATCTGCTCCAAATTTTGAACATGAAAAGGTTTTAGGTTTCTTGGCACCATAATGATAATAATAAATTTAAGTTGACTTCCTTGTATCCCAATACTAACCTGCTTAAAGTATCCTACAGAGATGTAGCCCCATATATCTCTGTCAAAGTCAATCAATATATTGTTAAACCGAATAATTGCATAATAAAGTTTTGCCATATAATCGTGTGTCTCAATCTGCAAACAAAAAAATAAACCAGATATATTCAATCAGAAGAATATACCAAAACTTTGACAAGATTGCATAATCACCAATTCTATTCCAGGTGAAGCACATGAACTGATTACTGACCATATCCGTACAAGGCTTCACTAAAAGTCATTCCTTCAACTGTTAGTTCTACTTCTACTGTATAAGAGGAAGGAGGCAGGAAATACCTGAGTAACATAGGGGTTAAACTTCAATCCAAGAGAATTCACAAACTCTTCCGCAATTTGAGGCCAATTAATATTAGGATATGCAACAAGATGAGCGTTGTAATTTCCAACTGCACCAGCAAACTTGCCCATCATCTCAACTTGAGAAATTTCTTGCCTTTCTCTGCTTAGCCTGACAGCAAAAATGGCCATCTCCTTTCCTAAAGTTGTAGGTGAAGCCGGCTGAAAGAAACCAAAAGATTTAAGTGATCAAGTAATAACTGCTACTTCTAGACTAAGTAATAGCAATAAATCATATGGCAATAAAGGAAACCATAAAGAAATTGAAGTAATCTTGGGATAATATACTGATCATGTTGACCCTCCAAAATATTATTCCCTGAGTGGCTAATGACACAATAGCAGTCAGATGACTAATATCAAGCATGAAATTACTATTCTACCTGGCCATGTGTGCGAGAAAGCATAGGAATGCTTGCATTAGCCTTAGCCATGTCACATATTGCCTCAATCAACTTATCCACGGTTGGAAACATGACTTTGGTCATTGCTTCTTTCAACATCAATGCATGGGCTAGGTTGTTTATGTCCTCAGATGTGCAAGCAAAATGGAAAAATTCAAGCACCTGAATCCAGAGAGAAAATGTGATTTCATCCTAAAATTCCCAATGAATTAGATCTACTAGCATGAATTTACATCAAACAGAAAGGATAGAGAACTAATGAGGTGAATCCCAACCTTAGCAATCTCTGAATGTGATTGGCATTTCTGTTTCAAGAAGTATTCCACTGCTTTTACATCATGGTTAGTTACTCTCTCAATTTGTTTAACTTCCAAGGCATCATCCATGCTAAATCGATCAATCAATCCTTGCAAATAGGACTGAGCTTCTGCACTGAAGCTTGGGACCTCAGTGACTTCAGGAATTTGTGAAAGCTTCAGCAACCATTTAATCTGACAGAGAGTATTTATATTTAATAAGGATCCTTCAAGAAATCACAGAAGAAGAAAGAACATGAAGTTCATTGACTTATATGAAAATATACATAGATTTTACGTTGACTGGTTTTGGAAATCAGCTTTTATACGTACACATATCATTAGCATTTCAACGACTCATTTCTAAGGTTAGCAACATCCAGTCCAGTATTACAGGACATGTGTTATCCTTTGATTCATGACACCAAACTAATCCACACTTCCCATGAAATGATGCTGCTCAGCTTAAGATTTACCGCAGTTAAGATTCAATCAAGTCGAGATGCAACTATGCTAAACCACGACTCTGTAATCAATTCAGTTTCTAGGATGTATATGAATTAGATTTGCTCCAAAACTGATCAAGTTGTCAAAAACAATTCTTTTCAAACAATGCGGAAAAACAGAAGACTGGAAGCCCTTAGGGGCAAGTAGACATATAGAACCAACAATTTGAAACGAAATTACTTTACAAAATGAATATATTAAGAGAATGCTGATTAGAAGATTACCTCAACAAGAACCCTGAAGTAAATGAGTCCATATTCACTCATATAAGGAGCCAAGTCCTTCACTTTACCCCAATAACGACCATCCAAAGGTGACAATGCTGTTAAAGTCGATAACTCGAACTCACAAGAATGATCTCCAGACATATTAATCGCCTAGAAAACAACAATTTTTGTTCTTTAGAAAATGAAATCTTGCATCCACAAGAAAAGAGGATTCGGAGAAACGAAAAGTCTCTTGATGTTCACTTGATAATCATAGATGACAATATTAAAACCAAAAGGAAACATTGAGTAATTGTTAAAACTCAAATTTACCACCTTAGGCATCAAATTTACCTATACCCAGAGTTCCATCATTAAAAAAATAAACAAAATTACGGCAAAAAGAATCAATTTTGGAAAAGCTAAAGCAAGGATAAACGGCTAAAACCTGTCTGAAACCATAGCTTCTGCATGAAGATATCGTAGAAAGCTGAAATGAAGCATTTGAGAATTGATGGGCTTGTTTAGTATTGTACAAAGCAGAGAGGTTTCTCAAAGATTGACCTTTTCTTGGTTGTAAAGGGCTTAAAAAGGGGGCTTGATTCTTGGTTAAAACCCCTGAAGAAACCCTGGCCTCCATAGGAAAAACAAAAAGAAGAGCAGAGCTTTGAACTCTGAGAAATGAGGTCGACGACAGGGTGGAAATGTAGCGTGCTTGGCGGTAATTTTCTTTAGGGTTTTTACGTATAAACCCTAATCTTCAAAAACCCAATCAATTTGGGCTCCTTTTTCAGGGTTTAAATTTGCATCAAACCCAATTTAATATCCAGCCCAAGTAGTAGAAAAAGCCCAAATTTTGGTGTTCTTGGATGTTGAAAAATTGGAAGCCAAAAATCTTAATCCAAATTAACCATTAAATTAAGGTCTAATATCACCCATAATCAAACTTATTTTTCACGTAATGTGCTAATTGAATTTCATAAATTAAGATTAAATCGAATGTTATTATCTAATATCCGGATATTAACCTATAATCTTATACTTGAATATCAAAAATTAAAATTAAATATATGATATTATGCGATCAATATTGATATTATCTATAATGTCAACTTATTTAAATGTTTATGGCAAACACTAATTATTTCGTTCTCTCGGATTATTTATGTGATTAAAGCTTAAAATTTTAAATTATTTAGTTGATTTAATCTTTAATCTTTAACTTAAAATTTTACTTAATTCTTAATTAATTCATATTTTTTCTGTTCTATGATTAATCACCAATTTGTTATCTGAAAAATTGAATGGCACATTATACAATGAATGAAGAAAGGGTGATGTAATATGTGGTTCCACCTTACCTAGTTACATGTGCAGAAACAAGAGGCAGTTAAAGCAAGGAACAAGCCATGCAGCAGCCTCCCTCTCTCTCTCTCCCCTCTATCTGTCACATCTCTTTCTTCATATGTTAGGACCATAGCCACACATTAAATTAGAGATGATAATTGCAGCTCAGTACTGCTACTCTGCCTTTCCCCACTTGATTGTAAAGCCTATCTATTCACCATCTGCCACGTGTCACGACATGGTTAACTACTTGATCCTACTCAAGCATTGCCTTGCTAAAAGCAAGGGCTTGTTGCAGAATTATATTCTCTCTTCCTTTGAAGTTCTAATTCTGTTATAATAAACACTTTTTCTTCAACTATGGAGACGGGTGTCAGGTGCTATGCCCGGGGGATTGTTCTTCCTAGTGTTTCCTCTAAGCATTCCACTGCACTAGTCTCCCCACCATCGATATCTCCTTCCTTCAGCTGCAGGGTATGATTGTATTCTTTCAGATATCACGCATGCATGCTTGCTTGCATGGTTTCATGTACAAGCTAAGCTTTCCTTTTCTAAATACTATGAATATTCAAATGAATAATTTGATCTTTCTTAAGATTTCATGCACGAGTTTAGCTTTTAGTGCAAAAGAGATTGACCTGATATAGGTATCCGAGCTCATCAAGCTTCCTAGTCAAGGGCCAAAACTAGAAAAAATCTTTTGATAGTCTTTGTGAATCATTTCGCCTAAGAGTTTTTCAATGAAAGATTGTACTGAAATGTATGACAGAGCCTTAAATCGAGCTCACTGTTCGGGGAATCACTGCGGGTTGTGCCAAGATCATCACCGAAGGTTTCAAAGACAAAGAGCTCTTCCCTTGTGACAAGATGTGAGATTGGTGACAGTCTGGTTAGTTATATTAGACAGCAAACCTTTGCTAGTGTTTGCTTTTTGCTTATTGAAATCAGTTTACGAGGTGGAGATTAAGTAAATTTCAATGGTTTTATGGTTGTAGGAAGAGTTCCTTACAAAGGCAACCCCAGACAAGGGACTCATTAGATTGATGATGTGCATGGGAGAAGCATTAAGGACAATTGCTTTCAAGGTCAGGACAGCTTCTTGTGGAGGTACAGCTTGCGTGAATTCCTTTGGAGACGAGCAGCTTGCTGTCGATTTGCTTGCCAACAAGCTTCTATTCGAGGTTAGAATCACAAAAACGGAAGCTTCTATTGACAATTAGTAGTTATTTTAGGCAAATAAAACGCTCTATTAATCCATTTCAAAAGATTTCTAACAGGATTCATGTTCATATTTCTAGGGGTTTATGTCTGTCTAAGTCAGATTATTGGATAAGAACTGGCTTTCCAACAGAGATGTGGGAAAAAAGACTATCTAGCAATTTTAATGAAGAGTATAACTTACTCTGAATGCAATAGAATTTATACAACCATTCATGTCCAAGTTCTAGCAATTTGTCTGTGAAGTTTGACAGTAATGTCTTTGGGTTTTGATTCAATTTGCAGGCATTGACTTACTCACACTTCTGCAAGTACGCTTGCTCGGAAGAAGTTCCTGAGCTTCAAGACATGGGAGGCCCTGATGAAGGTCTGAATGTCTTTCCAACCTCTTAAAAAAGTCCCATCCATTGGAATTAGTGATTAAGTACAACTGATTGGCTATTCCATATTTTATCACTACATGAACAGGTGGATTCAGTGTCGCTTTTGATCCACTTGATGGCTCCAGTATTGTGGACACAAATTTCACAGTAGGCACCATCTTTGGGGTGTGGCCTGGAGATAGGTTAACCGGTGTAACAGGAAGAGATCAAGTTGCTGCAGCCATGGGAATTTTCGGTCCTCGGACTACATATATTCTTGCACTTAAGGACAGCCCTGGCACCCATGAGTTCCTTCTTCTAGATGAAGGTACTTGCAACAATATTAGTATCAATTTTGCAATCAGAAAACGACTCTCTCATTTGGTTGTCATAAGCTTCCGTTCAGAAGCATTACCTAACTTTTTGAATTAGTACTTGCTGTAGCCAAGGATTTAGGAATAAGTATTGAGTACCTAAATTCCTCTTTCTCACTCCAAAATGATGTTTCCCTGGTGGATTTATCAGGAAAATGGCAACATGTCAAAGACACCACAGAGATTGGTGAAGGAAAAATGTTCTCCCCTGGAAATTTGAGAGCCACATCTGACAACCCTGAATATGACAAGGTTCAACTATATTTAAAATTTTTCCTAATTCTTTTAATGAGGGAATATTGTTTCCTTAAAAATTTTATCAACAGCAGCAAATTGACATTTTTACATTTTGAAAAACAGTTGATCAACTACTATGTGAGCGAGAAATACACATTGAGATACACTGGTGGAATGGTGCCAGATGTCAACCAGGCATGCTGAGCTTCTTCCCATATTTTGGTTTTCCTATTAGTCCATATTGCTGTCAAATTTAAATGATTTTTCTGCCTTTGTTTATCTACAGATCATTGTAAAAGAAAAGGGTATCTTCACAAATGTGGCATCACCATCCGCCAAGGCCAAGCTGAGGCTGTTATTTGAGGTAGCTCCCTTGGGGTTCTTGATTGAGAAAGCTGGAGGTTACAGTAGTGATGGTCATCGGTCAGTACTAGACAAAGTGATCAATAATCTTGATGATAGAACTCAAGTTGCATATGGTTCAAAGAATGAGATTATCCGCTTCGAAGAAACTCTATACGGATCCTCAAGGCTCAAAGCTGGGGTCCCTGTTGGAGCTGCTGCTTAAGCAACAATGTTTTTACTTTGTTTTATCTTTCAGCCTTTGTTTTCCTTTGTCTATCAAACCTTAAGCTATTCCATATAGAAGAAGTTGTCAAAATAGAATTATAAAAGGCTGAGCTCTCCATTCAGCATATTTTTCCCTGAAAAGAATTTGCTTCTTTATCTGTAATGGGACTTGAAGCAGAAGTGCCCATAAAGTTATCCCAGGGCCAATGCACCTCGTTCTTCTATGAACTTGTTTCCAAGTTATATTCACCTAACTTAAGACTTTTGGGTTCAATTGTCCAACAGGTTGAATATCTGAAAAGCAATTCCAATTATTTTCTTTCCAAATTTCAATCATTTTTATGTTGGAAGAAGAACACCTTTTGATGCTATATGAAGCAACATCTTCCTATAATAGGAAGGAGTTAGATTTCCGACTTCCCTTAATTAGAAGAGTTGTAAAACATAAGAAACATCTAAATCACTTCTAAATAATCAATTAATCATATATACTTTATCCTTGGATGTCATGGAATAATCTCTGCTTAATACAATAATTATCAGATTAATCCATTCTGGACAATACAGTCCAAAAATGAAGATAGTGACTGACAAGGTCTCTTTCTTCATTCCACGGGTATTCAACTTCTTAAGAATTCATCATGGTCTGTTGGATCTTCCTAGAAACCAAGGTTGTTTAACTATAGAAAGGAAGTAAAGAACAAAGAACACCTGTAATTATGATTAAAATATAGTAAATTCCTAAGAAGTTAAGCCTTGGATTCAACCCCCTATGCATGCTCTTATTGGCATATTCAAAGGATCATGCCAAAGCTTAACACTTTTTTCTAAGATTCCTTCGCAATTAACTGTGGGCATTGGCTTGAGAACTTTCAGTTTGCTGGAGTCAGCTGCAGATGAGCATTAGAGTTGCAAACTGTTACATTACTACATTTATGTCGATACCGAGAGTAAATCATAAGGGCACCTTCAGCTTTTAATAAATCTACCGAACACCAGTAACTATGGTATGCATTCTGCGTTTTAGATTCAATTATCCTTGCAGGGAGAGAGGCTATGGTTCTGTTTACTGCCTCCTCATGGGTGAACCCTCCTTTTTGTGTATATAGGGGATTTCACCCATCTTTAATGAAAATGACTTTAATATTCAAAAAAATAAAAAAAAGTTTTTCCCCTTTTGATTTATATGAAATACTAGTCTCCTGATGTTTACTGATGATTTTAGTTTCATGCTACGTGCCAAAATTTGTAGGTCTACACCAACCACAATTGTTATAGAGTTTATATTCCAACTGGCAATTGGAAGATATTGAATGTATTGCCTTTTTTCAAGTTTGAATCTTCTTGCAGGCTGTTGAAACAGGACAGAGGAAATGGCAAGGATCAGTCAGTGGAATAGTTGATTCACCCCTTGACCAAGTCTGGACCATTGTTTCTCAAACAAAAAGACTATCAGAATGGATGCCAATGGTTGAGAGATGCACTGACGTAGAAGGAGATGAAGGCATTCCTGGCTATGTACGGCTAGTATCCGGCTTCATGTTCCCCCAACAAGATGGAGAAAGGTCATGGATCAAAGAGAGGCTGGTTGCAATGGACCCAACATCGCACAGTTACGTATACAAAATGGAAGCAAGCAACGTGGGCTTAGATGGATCAGTAAATTCCTTAAAACTCATAGATTATGGAGATGACTCGACGTTGGTTAACTGGTCATTTGAGATAGACCCCTTAGAAGGTGCATTGGAGGACAACATCATAGATTATCTAGGATTTCTCTACAAATCTTGCGTTAACAGGATCCAGGGTGCCATTGTGGCTGCATCCAAGAAAGTTTGAGTAACTTGTTCATGTGTTGCAAGTCTCTCAAATTTGTCAATTGCAGCCTCTTAGTTACCTTCTTCAAGAACTCTTTTGGGGGGCAAAATTAACTTCCATGAACTGTATCGTACTCATCTTGATAAGACCATTTTATAATACAGAATTTAATTAGCCTGCTATAGGAAAACATTAGTTCTAGATGCTGATATTGACCATGTTCCTAGGAGAACGGAACAGTTCCTTAATTGCTTTTTGTGTTTTTTTGTCAGACACACACCTCCCACATGCAATCTTGGGAACTTTACAGGTTTAGGGGTCTGATCTATTAGGTCAAACAAAATGCTCAAAACATTGAAGTAGGAACCATTGAACCAAAGGTCTCTAAACTAATAATAAAATGAAAGCTATATACCAACTTATCAAATTCACTTCCCTTTTCTTACATGACATTCTTTTAGGATTTGAACCAACCAATACTGACCACCTCCGGCTTTCAGTGGAACTTTATGTTCAGCTGAAAAAATATCCAGACTGAGTTCTGTGGCTACAAGGCTTGATCAGCTGATATGTCTGATGTTTCTGCTGTAAAATATTGAGCTAGGTGAGCTTGAACCACTACTGGACATATGTACTCATATAAACTTCAGTAGCACTCCTGGTTTTTCCATATCTAAAATGGTTGTTCATAATTGTCAATTTTGTTAGGATGTCATTTGCAGATATTCCTTCAGAATTATAAAAAAATTGGAAAGAAAATGCATGACTCATCTGCTCAGAAATGGAAATAAGACTCATTAATTAAGCTTTTTTGGCGTTAGGGTGGCAGCAGCAATGCTCAAAAGTCACCTTACTAGTACCATTTTTTACTAATCAAAACTATGTTCATTTGGTTGTCTTTGAGGCCAAGTATCCCAACCAGAAATTCACCACCTTTAAAACAAGTAGCATGCTCATTTGTTAGTGAGAAAAATGTGGGGTTTGAACCAAAAGAAGAAGGAAGGTGAAACCCCCAAGGTGAAAAAGATGTGAGATTTGAAATGGATTTCCAGGCAAGTTGAGCTGTTACTGCAAAATGCAAACACCCATCTAATTAAATTCCTCAAAGCTTCTGGACAGCTGACCAGGGCCATTGATCCATATCTTTGAAAACAACTTCTCAACTATAAAATACCTCTTATTCCTTAACATCAACACATTTATACATTGACCATTACCCACCACCATAGTTTTGCTATCTCTTCTCTTTGTGCATGTATTTATACTCTTCTGGAAGGCCGGCTGCTCTTATAAATCTACCAATGATAGACTGAGAAGCTTCAGCTACACAAACTCCAGAATCATCACTCACCCTGCAAACAGTTCAATTCCATGCAATAAATATTAAACAAACTCTAGAGAACTAACTTTTTATATATGTGCAAGCTTACATAAAACTTGACATGTGATATGTTCGTGATACGAAGATACATTTAACCTTTTAAATATAAAGAAAAACTTATATAACGAATTTTAATTCAAACCCGAATTTGGACAAACATAGGGTAGAACTTAGAATTTAAAATCATGGGGCCATTAAAAAAATTGGAATGGTATGCTTGTAGTCCATTGATGGTATGTTGTCGAAAAGCTACATGAAATTAAAATATTTGTAATGAAGAAAGGAAGAGTTTCTTGAAACAGGATATCTTGTAAGAGATAGAGAAAGATGTGCAGATGGGAAGTAAGTTTCAACTCACACGAAGTGTCAAGTCAGTTGAAAATGGCAACTGAGAGGGAAGGCGGAGGGGGTGTTATTAGCTTACTTCCCAAATGTACGGTGACTTACTACTTTGTGTAACATCCAAGAAAACTCTGAGAAAATGCCTGTCTGCCTGGCATCTCTTCATTTCACCTAACCAGGTAAAATGACATTGCATCAAAGATTTTGTTCCTTTATATACGAAGTTACAAAGGTAGTGTGTCAGACCAACTGGGTCTTCCGAAATATAGCTGGGACAGAAATCTTGAAGAGACAGAGTTGGGAGACAAATTAGGGGTGACTGAAAGAACATTGCAAGGATGCTGTCCTGGGTTCAGACATTGCTGTTTATGTCTGTTCTATTTCCGGTCTTGGTAGAGTGTAAGATTCGGCATTACAACTTCACTGTAAGTATGCTTCCTTTTGGTAATCTGTTGCAGTTGTTCGTGTCACCCTTAACATAAAGGAGGCATGGCAGCAAGAACAGTAATCATTTCATGCAGTCATGATCTTTTTTGGGTTTTCTTTAAACTGGCCAAAAGGGATTGCAAGACTAGAAATTTCAATCCTGAGCTCTTAAAACTGATTGTACTCTCTTCCCCTGGTTCTGTTTAGTAAGTTGCTTCCCTTTTTGCTTTATCTTTTTAAAAGGTATATATTAAGATTAATCATTGACTATCAGACAAAGGCAAAATTCTTGCTTCTTTTAATTAGCATTTGTTTTAAACTTTTGGGGTATAAAAAAAGGGCAAAAAGTTGTTACCAAGGGGCAACCAAACAGAACCAGGAGGAAATTTGTCATGTTTCTCAATAAAGCCAACTTTTCTCTTCTCATGCACATTACTTAATGAATTTTACTTTCTTCTCATCCTGCTTATACCTACCTCATTGGAACTCTTCAAGAGTTTCTTACCCAATGCCAAGAAATGACTGAGCATCCTTAAAACTTTATACTATTGTCTTTGCCCATGGTAGATTTTGTAAAAGTATATGTAAAGTCTAGACATGTTACTGTAAAATGGAGGAATTTTTATTCTCATTCTGCTGGCAAATGCATTTCAGGTGGTCTTGAAAAACACAACAAGGCTTTGTGCCACCAAGCCTATTGTGACTGTCAATAAGCAGTTTCCAGGGCCAACTCTTTATGCAAGAGAGGGTGATAATGTACTCGTAAGGGTCACTAATCATGTCCAATACAATGTTACGATCCACTGGTGAGCAAAGTTTTTCAGAAAGATTTCTTACAACTTAATGAGTCAACTAACTTAACTATAATCTACAAATTGCAGCCTGACGACTTTTTCCTTCTTTTTCCTGCTATTGCAGGCATGGGATCAGGCAACTTCGAACAGGTTGGTCTGATGGACCAGCGTATATCACACAGTGTCCAATTCAGCCTGGTCAGAACTTCCTTTACAACTTCACCCTCACAGGCCAAAGAGGGACACTCCTTTGGCATGCACATATTTCCTGGCTGAGGTCAACCATGCATGGTGCCATTGTTATCTTGCCTAAGAAGGGTGTCCCTTATCCATTTCCCAAGCCTTATAAAGAAAAAGTAATCATTTTAGGTGAGCTTCTGGTAGCTTGAAGCTTGTCTTTGCCTGCATCAAAAATTATAATGAGACTAATATGTTAGTTAAGTGGATTCTTTTTCTTTGAATTTTAGGGGAATGGTGGAAAGCAGATACTGAAGCTGTGGTCAACCAGGCAATGCAAACTGGTTTGCCTCCAAATATATCAGATGCACACACAATTAATGGCCATGCCGGACCAGTTTCTAACTGTTCTTCTGAAGGTACTAGTTGCAATTGAAAGGGGAAAAAAGTTCAGAGAAAATCATTTTTTAAAATAACAAAAAAAAGGCTTAGACTAGAGCTAAATATATCAGAACAATCTTATATAACTGATCAGTTTCCTTGCCCCTTCCGAGTTCTTTTTCTTTTTCTTGCTCCGGTTTGGTTAACAAAGTTCTATCATACTGCATATGCAGGTGCATATACTTTACATGTTGAAACTGGCAAGACCTATTTGCTACGAGTTGTCAATGCAGCTGTGAATGATGAGCTCTTCTTCAAAATTGCTGGCCATAATCTGACCGTTGTCGAAGTTGATGCAGCTTACACTAAGCCCTATAAAACTGACACATTATTTCTTGGTCCAGGACAAACCACAACCTCACTTCTTACAGCAGATCAGGGTATTGGCAAGTATTTAATAGCTATATCTCCATTCATGGACACCATTGTTGCAGTTGACAACTTGACTGCAGTGGGATTCTTACACTACAACCACACCCTTGCCTTTACTCCAACTACCTTGACCAGCATTCCTCCTGTGAATGCAACATCAGTGACAGAAGTTTTTTGTGAATCTCTTCGAAGCATTAATTCAAAAGAATACCCTGCCAATGTCCCATTAACCATTGATCATTCCCTATTTTTCACCATTGGGGTTGGGATTAACCCTTGTGCTACATGCTTTAATGGTTCCCGGGCAGTAGCAGCTATTAATAATGTCACTTTTGACATGCCAACTACAGCTCTCCTTCAAGCACATTACTATGGCATAAGTGGGGTTTTCACAGATGATTTTCCAGCTAAGCCACTGATACCTTTCAATTATACTGGTGCTCCACCATCCAGTTTGCAAACAATGAATGGCACCAGAGTGTACAGGCTGGCCTATAATTCAACAGTTCAACTAGTAATTCAAGGAAACTCTATACTAGCACCAGAGAGCCATCCAACCCATCTGCATGGATTCAACTTTTTTGTAGTTGGAAGAGGGGTAGGAAATTTTGATCCAGAGAAGGATCCACTGAAATTCAATCTAGCTGATCCTGTCGAGAGGAACACAATAAGTGTACCAACTGCAGGATGGACTGCAATCAGATTCAGGGCAGACAACCCGGGTACATGAAAACAATCTTTTCCCAAAATGCTTTCACTTTTTTAGTTGTGAAGTTCTAAAAAGATTGAATCAGTATAGAACTTAATGGTTTGTTCTTATCAATCTTTTTCCTGATAAGGAGCTTGCAACTTCCATATATTTGTCTTTTGCATAAAAATCTAACACTGCTTTGTCTCTTTTCTTTAAAATGAAACTGATTCTATTTTTACTTCCACAGCAAGCAAGGTCTTCATAAACTGTCTATTCAGCTTGCTTTGAAAACCAGCAAGCAAAACATTTCTTACAAAAACAAAAGTGTTCTAACATTACAACTTGGTCTTTTTCAGGGGTCTGGTTTTTCCATTGCCATTTGGAAGTTCACACAACATGGGGACTGAAGATGGCATTCCTGGTGGAAAATGGCAAAGGCCCGAACGAGTCACTGATACCACCTCCTAGTGACCTTCCACAGTGCTAGACCAATGTCCAGAGGGAGACAGCTTTGAGAATCAATGTCTGAGGCTTGAGACAGGAGATGAGAGGCCACTAGGAATGTGCAAAATTTGTGATTGAAAACGGTGAGCAAAGGCTTGACAGAGCTAATAAAACAGCAAAGGAATCAAGGGTTGTTGTTTTCTTTTTCTTGGAATTAATTTAAAGTTTCATAATCTGAAAACCATGTAATCTCTTATCTTCAATCTTCTGTTCTTGGTGGAATGAGGGTCATGATATATGCTTGGAGTGTATGTAAAGGAAAAGAAAGTATGTAGCTATCAGAGTTTATGGTGAAATTGAAGTTTGGAAAGCTCTTTATTTCTGAAATTTTCTTTCCTTTTTACTTGTTTTGCAAGAATAGTTAAATTTTCCCATTATTTTTCATCCAAAATTACATATATTTCGAGAAAAAAAAATTAGAATGTGCTAGGCAACGGTCGAACCCTACGACTTTATGCTTAGGAATATTCGATATTAAAAAATTTATTAACAGATAAAATTGATCTTTGGACAGTTTTTCAACTAAAAATTTGCATGAAATTACATAGAATAGTAAGATATTTTTAACTTTATGAAATAAAGTTGTGACAGTTTAATGTTCATTTTGATGTATGATGACATGATGGGCTTATTATTTTTCTTTCTAAAGTGTACACAAAGGACAAAATTGGTGATGGTTAAATGGTTGGTATCTCTATCATTATTGTTTTTTTTTTTTTTAATTTTTCCTTTTCAAGATTATCATTACAACTTTTTGGCTAAACAAGTTCCACTACATCAAAACCTTAGAACAAAAAATTATAGACTATGGTTTCAACTATACAGAGAAAAAAAAAATGAGAATTATTAAAAGTAAAATGCCATAATCAACTCCTTAATATAATATGGAGGAGGAAAATTTTCCATTTGACAGTACCCCAATCCTAACAAGCCACCTTTCTTTAGCTTTTTTCCTTTCCTTTGTCCAACTCTTGTCCCTTTGAACTCATCCACATCCCAGTAGGTTAACACTTCTCTCCTTGTTCATTCCTCAATTCTCTTCTACATTTCCCTTTGATCAAATTTCTTCTCTTCAAAGAAAACCAGACAGAGAGAAAACCACTGTTTTCCCGCTTTTTCTGTCACCGTAATTATCCAAAGAATCTCTTTTCATTCCTTTTCCTCAATTGGGTCTTTACCTTTGTCCACCATCTTTCATCATCTTGCTCTTTATTTCATCATAGCTTTCAATAGTGTTTTCTTTCACTTAATTATAAGCCTTGTTGTGGTATAAATTCTAAGTTCCCAAGCTTGGGTTGTTTACAGTTATTCAGGAGTTCTGGTTGCTAGATTGTTATATATATAAATATACATATATAACTCTTCTCTATTAATGCTTTGTACTTAAAGAGCAAAAAAGAAGAAAAAACCAGCAGATTTTCCTCCCTTGTTCTTTTTCGAGATTCTCTTGATTCTTTAAAAGATTTATCTTTTTAGATTCTTCAGTTTATGCTGTTAAGAAAAAGATTGATTCTTGATTCCCAAGCAAATGATTCTGATTTTAATGCTCTTCTTAAGCATCTAAACACTGTACTTCTGCAACCAGTCTGTCTTCCTGGGTTTCATATTTCTTCCATTTCCAATATGAACTTTTTTTGAAATTGAAAAATATTGCTTCTTTTTTTTTCCAGTATTGTCAAGTATGGAAACTTTGTTTGCAACTTCTTTTATGTCGAATTCGGATTGGTTTGATCAAGAGAGCAACAGCACAAGTTGGACTAAAGAAGAAAACAAAATGTTTGAGAGTGCTTTAGCAATATATGGTGAAGACGTTCCTGATAGATGGTTAAAAGTAGCAGAAATGATACCAGGAAAAACTGTTTCTGATGTGATTAAACAGTATAGAGAGCTGGAAGAAGATGTTTTCAAAATAGAAGCAGGGCGATTTCCTATACCAGGTTACTTTAGCTCATCTTTTACACTAGAATTGGTTGATAACCGTGATTTTGATGCTTATAGGAAGAGGTCTACAGGGGCTAGAGGTCCTGATCATGAGAGGAAGAAAGGGGTGCCATGGACAGAAGAAGAGCACAGGTGACTTTCCTTCAAAAAAGCTAGTTACAGTTCTTTAAAAATTCTGCTTTCTATTGGTGACAATGTTAAAACTTTGATAAGCTTTAGCTTAGGTACTAAAATGGCTGCAGCAGAGAACGTGTATCTATCAGTTAAAAATTTCAGAGTTTTTGATTAGTGGTAAAAGTATGAATGAAGTAATATTGTGTGCTTGTAGATTTCACTTAAGGTTCAATGTTTTGATTTTCCATTTCAGAATTCATTTAAATTTTTTTGAGTTAAGATAACAATTTAAGAGAACTTTGCAGTCATAGTTTTCTTTACCGCCCGACCTGAAACTTGGATGATTTCAGTTCTTGTTCTTACCATGGATTCTTTGATCATGACTTATAGGCGTTTTCTGATGGGACTTCTGAAGTACGGTAAAGGGGACTGGAGAAATATCTCCAGAAATTTTGTGGTTTCCAAGACTCCAACTCAAGTGGCAAGCCATGCTCAAAAATACTATCAGAGGCAGCTTTCAGGAGGGAAAGACAAGAGGAGACCAAGCATCCATGACATTACAACTGTCAATCTCACCAACACCACCTTTTCGGACAATCATAAGCCTCCTTCAGTAAATCATTCCAATGTGCTTGCATTGCAGCAAAAGCTGGCCAGCATGCCAAAAGTAGGCAATAATTGGAATCACCCCAATGATGGATCAGCCATGGCTTTCAACTCAACTCATGGGAACTGGTTTACATCATCCCAATACCAGACTGCTTCAAATGGCCTGAGACTTCAGGGGCAAAATCTGTATGGCAGTGCTTACCATGGAGCTCATATCAAACCCCAAAGCTCAGTGTTCTAAACCCTCACACAGGATATCACATGCATGGATAGGGCAGTTGTTTTCTGTTGTACTCAACATTTCAATTGCAAATCTAATAATGTAGAGAAGGGTTTTCCAAAATGCTCTTTTATCATTGTCTTGTATGACAGATAAAATGGTTTTGCTTATTACACAATGGTGGAATCATATATTGCTTAAACACCAGTGTTCAAACCGTAAAGTCGAAATTAATCCCTAGAAAAATATCTTGGGCAACAAATTCCTGTGCTAGAGGTAACTGCTACCTGGTTTACATCATGAATGAAAAACGGCTGTTCAGAGTATGCATAAAAGAAAAACATATCAGACCCTTATTAGTATTGCATTTGTTTGTCAGACAAACATTTATCTACATGTTCTGGATTTCTCCATTAGCTTTGCTAATTGTCCTAGCTGTTGTCATTCTCCATTCTGATGCAGGCTGAGGCCTTTTTGGATGATTATGACACTTTGTCCATAGCTGAACTGAACCCTGAGAGGCCAAGACCCAAAAGACAATGGCATTACCGGATGTGTACGAGGGAAAAGATCAATCATTTGTTACTGAGATATTAAAAAATTTTGCTGCAGTTGTCAAGGAGTGATCTAAAGGAACCTTCTGCTACTTTTTACACCTACAATAGTTTTCTGTAATGGTTTTCGTACGCGCAGCCATGTCATTTGGTGATGTGGCCTAATTGGCTGACTCACTTGGCACTGCTTTGGAAATTTCTCAGTATCTGATTGCTTACTTTTGCCATAGGACCCTTTCCGCCATTTTCACCTTTTTTGGATCCAATATGGCCAAGTTGACCCGAGCTTGATGCCATCACTTAGTCGAAGCTGAGTATGCATTCCACTTGCTTGAGCATCACATGCTTCAGTCTGTTATAGAATATAGAAAGATGCAATATGGTTTACATTTTTATATTTTTTCCTTTCTGATCATCTCTTTTTTTAATCCAATTCCAATCCAATATTGCCTTTTCTCTGATATTTCTCTTTCTGCCAACCCAATTGTCAATGGTGGCAAGCCTGATTCATGAGCATAGTGTAGCTTCTTTTACTGGTCTCTGGAGGCATCATCCCTTTTTGTGGTTCATATGTTTACTTGACAACCAAAACAAAGAATCTAACTGTGCTTGTTTTGTATTTTTGTCATGCTATAACCATGTTGAAAAGGAATAAGAAAATCTAGCTTTGAAATTAGGCAGAATCAGATTTTGACCTTCTCCTTGACCTTGAGAGAATATGTTTCTTTGTTCTTTCTTTCTTTTTTATTTTTTTTTCTCTCATGGGTACAGGAAAGAATATGATTTTTACCTCTCTTTTTTTCACATGTCCTCAAATCCTTCAGAGATTCTTCCTTATGGGTTGGAGGAGCTATGTTCATTTAATATTGTCGCTGCTTAAGTTTGTGCCATATGATCCTGGAAATGAAGCAACAATGGCTGCTAACTTTCAACTCTTTGCAGCATCCTGCTTACAATCCTTTCCAAGAAAACAGCAGCTAATCTTCAGATAAGAATCTGACAAAATACTAGACTTCATCAGATTAAATAGACAAAAATAAGTCCATAAATAAAAAAAAATGAGGAAAAAGAATAGTATGGAAAAGAACAATCAGCTTTGTTAAATAGTCTTGGATTTGATTCTTTACCCTGGGAGCCTAAACTCAATCAATAATTCAATATTCATATCCTGCTGGCACTGTTAACAGTACAAAAGAATGCTGGGAATTCTACTCTTTAGATACTTAGTGGGACCTTAATGAATGGGTTGATAATGATCACTCTATCTCATATGTAGACAAAAGAGGCATTCCACATATGAAGAAATTGTTCACGGTATTTGTTTTCTTTTCAATTTGTCATTGTGGGATCTACTCCTACATCCCACCATTGCTATACTGTGCTGCTGCTGCTGCTGCTGCTGCAACTATGACGAAAGCCCAGCCTAGTGCCCTACCCATGTCACATTTGCATGTATATCATTTTCTAAGCCACACAAAAATTTGAGTGTTCACAAGCTACAAAATCAAACATATCAACACGATTGTTTTTTACCAACTTTTTTTTTTGTCAGAAGATGACAAAAACTGTCTACTTTATATTATTTTTCTAAGAGGAGCAGCCTTTCTGCAAGTTGCATAATAAAGCACTTCTACCCACCTTTATTCTAAATTTGATCAAACCTTGGGGAAGGTTACACCATGTACTTTTTGGCCATCTTTCCTTCTTTTAATTTCCAGAAAAAACAAAAGATGCAATCTTGCTTTAGCAATAACCCAATGATCCCACTTGCAAAATCACCTTTTGATGAAGAACCATGCATTAGACCTACTTTTTTCATACAAATCCCTCCATTACAATAGCATGATGCATATTACAGACTGGCCTACTTTATTTAAGGATGATCTTGGTATAAGAACTTTTTGTCGTCCGATCTCACACAAGATTGATAAAGTTAGGTTGATATTATCACCTGGACACAGATTTTTTTATATATATTCATGGCTTGGCGTTGTTTTATAATCTGCTATATGAAATTAAATCTAGTGTTGATGTAAGACGGCACTGTTGGTGGCCTAGAGCTTTGAATTTTTCTGACAGGGATTGAAAAATGAATCCAATGTAAGAGAAATGAGTTTTGCTTCCTTCCCATTTCACTGCATTAGATCAGATAAGTCATCCAAGTAAATTCTGGTATTAAAAATTGTTCATAGTGCACGATACTGTACCATGCAGCATGTGCTTGGGACTTTGATCTTTAAAGGGGGAACATAACCAATGGCCTAAAAAAGTATAAAAAGGGACAGGACCCAGAGCTCTAAATTGGCTTTATTGGCTTTCTTAGCCAATTGCTTAGGTTTGATATGAGAAAATGGAATAAGACAGTGGAAATATAAAGTGATAAGAGAATTATACATGTGGAATCACCTACCTTCATGGTCAGATAATGATTTACTAATCAAAGATGTTATGATGGTTATCAGGCTGTGAGATGTGGCTTCTTGTATTTTTCTCTAACATTCAATTCTTCGTACCCTTGGTATCTCAATGCTCTTATCCTGCAGATTTCTTACAAAGATCTTATATTCAATCTTAGTGATCTCCATTTCCCTGTACTAGAGCACTTGCAGTTGATGAAATCCAGTTGTGATGCACTCTGCTTTGAAATCCATAGCATGTGATTGAAATGTTCAGACATGACTTCCAGCATATCTTCCTTTATTCTCTGATGGAACTCAAACAGCATCAGGCTTAGTGCATAACTCTGAGCTCTTTGGTGTAGATTTTTGTCCTCTTATCTTGTGGAGATTCTCTTAAGGAAATACCTGATCAGAAAAGAGAGAAACTTGGGTGTATCCTAGGCTTAGTATCTTCCCCAAGGTTACCGCTTAGTTTTCCAATCTGTTATCCATATGCATATCATTCAATTCCATTAGAGTTAATAGATTGGTTAGGAATTTCAGTCTAAAAAAGTTGAGAACTATACTAACTGAAATGCCAATATAGATTCATGCATTGTGTTTTCCTTTTAACTGGCAGCATTCATGAAGAATGGTGAGTCCACAACTTGAAATGCTACTCACAAGCAACCACCTGCTTCTTGGTAAAAAACATCAAACTAGATGATGGGATGGGACCACGATTGGAACATTTGGCCACTAGGGAAAAGAAAAATAGAAACAGGATGGGCAGTGTTCTCCAGAGGCCTTGAAATGCTCAAACAAGTTATCCCACCTCATCATTAGGTTGTCTTTAAGTATTATCAAGTTGTAGCCTTGGGATTAATTCTAATCGTCTTTTAGTTGTAGTCACTGGCAGTTGCCAGGTTGATTCTTGGCTTAAGGCCACCAAGCAACGATTGGATTTCATATTAAAGGAATTCCTTCCAACTTTCTGGCATTTGCAATGCCTATGACGCCGGTAATATTTGCTGGTAATACATTTTTCTCAAGTAATCTGATCGTCTGATTTGCAAGTCTAATTTTGAGATATCTTGGGTTGTCTCATTTCTAGCCAAGTTTCCCAAGTTATGGTTATACTAATTCACAACTAAAAATACTATCATAAACATCAACTCTCCATGGTCAATGCTTAAGAAGGCACTGTACACTGCAATCTCTGAAATGGGTCCTAAAACTGAAGTAGATATAATCCAGAACCAGCCCTGAACTGTCAGCATCTCCAAAAGGTTATGGACCCAAATAGAATAGACAAGATACACCACCTTAAATTGCAAACCCCATTTTTAATACAAGCTTCAAATTGGATATGGTGGCTACAATCCATAAGTACAATGTACCCTAGTTGCTCTAGCCTCGAGGGCGGCTGCTGCTGCTGCTGCTGCAATCCTTTGAACCAGGTCTTTGTACACTGCGTGAATAAACTTAAGAAGGGGAGCAGGACCTGGAACTAACTCAATACGAGAAGGTTATTTTCCATAATTTTTTATAAACTTTCCTTCATCATTGTACAAAGTAAGATTTTTTTTATACTTGTCTACCTTGGGAAGGGAGGAAAATGACAGGTAAGAGAGAAGAGGATGGGTTCAAGAATTTGCAGGGCCCATATCTGTCTTTAGGTGGAACTTTTGTAAAAACTGTACCCTTCAATTTTGCTTCATTCAAGTTTTTGTCTTCAAACTCTATTCAACAAAGCTTACAACTCTTTGACGCCCAACATAGAATTAGAAACATTTGAAAAAATGGAAATTAATTAACAATAATGTTAAACCAGCCCCCAAGTGTCATTTTACATTGCCATAAACAATTTCCAACTTCCTGAACTTGGATCAAGCAAATCATGAATTTATCATTGGCAAAAAACTTTCCAGCAATACACTGGTGGGAAACACGTTCCTGTTGTCAGGAAAATTGTTTACTGTTTCTACCAGGTGCATCTGCAACACAAAATTTCATGGGAAAAAGGTTCCTGTGAGGCTCTCTTTTCAATGACATATTGACATGCATGAAGGTTTTCTCCGGCAGAGGCTTTCGCCGCTACCAAAGTCCAATTCTGATGGCTTTCTTTGGCATCTTTCACAGGCAATCACAGTCATAGAGCTGGACAAGTTCCATCTGAAAAACTTGTTTTCATTCATTCCACCAAAAACAAAGGACACTCCAGCACACAAATCTCTGCAGGAAAGAGATCAATGCCATGACACGTCCAATGTCTGCCACTACCAGAAGTATTCCGTTAAGGGTCATTCACTACTTTTTCCAGGGACAAGGGACATAAACAGTAGCCCACCAAGAGTGCAAGTGCTTTCAAAATTACAGAAGAAAACACAATCTTATTACAGGACAAAGTCTAGAAATAAACTCGAAAATGAAATATCAAATTGGAAACCCTCTAAACAAAAAGGAAAGGAAAAGGTGCAGAAACTTTATAGACAGGACGTGGATGGGAAAAATGGACACTTCGAAAAATAGGTCATATTTACAGCTCTACGCAGCAACTAATGGATCCAAAGGAATAACAGTTTCTGGAAAATCTGTTCTTGGTCCAGCTAGGGAGTAATATGCAAGTATATGAGCCGGATGCTCAACCACAACAGCCTCCCCAACCTGATCATTCATAACTACTCGTCTCGCAGGAATTAGCTCAATATTCCAAAACGGACGAGCCATTGCTAAAAGATCACGACTTGATTGTGATGCTCTGTATCCTTGCACCCACAAATACCTCAAGGAAGTTAATTGCATCACAGTAACTGCTAGTGCATGCTCACTGAAGCAACAACCCCTCATTTCTAGTTTCTGCAAGCTAGGACATCCCTTAGAGAACTCCAAAAGCCCAGCATCCGACTCCCCAACATAGCCCAGAAGCATCCATCTTACATTTGGACTGTACTGCCCAATATAACTGAGGCCCACATCAGTCAAACCACCAGGTCGGAGATACAGAGCAAATCTTCTAAGCTTTTCACAGCCCCTCAATAGAGCCCGGACTCCATTATCAAGAGGCAAATCTGTTATCCTTTCTTCACGGTCAAGCAAGACTAGGCGAAAATCACACATATTTTTTGAGTAGGTCCCAATGTATTCCAATGATGCATTGGTGATGTCAGATACATAAACAGCCAAGTATTCCAATTCAAGGCATCCCTGAGCTAAAGCCATTAATCCTCTTTGTGAAACCACACCTTCTTCATCCTCCATTCCCTGCTCATCAGCACCCCGTTCAATTCTAAGCCTCTTTAGTCTCTTACAACTTCGAGCAAGAACTTCTAATCCTCTATCTCCAATAACATTCCTTGTCTGTCCATCCAGCAAATACATTCAATTAGACCTTATTAAGAATAGAATCAAAATACAACTTGTCCTTTCTATAATATTCCTCTACATTTTGGTGTTTTGCATTAATATTCAACTACTGAAATCTCAATGCCAGATAAACTTTCCTACACAGAAAATCCTAACCTTCTAATAGTAATATACTACTACGTTAAAGCTCAGACCAGAAAGCAAGGTCAAAAGTGTCTTCATAATGGACACACATTTTAAAGAACATTTTTTTTAAAAAAAAGAAAAATGCTAAACTTAATTAAAAAACCATAAAGTCCACTTGGAACTCCAAAAAATGTTATAGCCAGACCAAAAAATTAACAAGATAAAAGATGCAATTCCAAGAAAATAGTGACAGCCAGATAATTAAGAGAAACGATAGTTTTGTGATTTTACCTCAAGAACTTCTAAGTTGGGGCATCTTTGAATTAACAAGCAGTGGTCCTCCGTGTCAAGTAATGCATAGAGGAGATCCAACTTTTTAAGCAAGGATGCAAAAGGGAACACAATTGGCATTTCATTCTTCCCCATGTATGTTAAGCCCAAACGGCATAACTTTGGGGGGAATGATACAGCATTGTACCTATCCGGTTGCTCATTGAAAGAACCACCACAAAATTCTTCTAAAACAGCAGCAGTGCGAAAGAAACCAACAAGATCCAAAATTTCACAATCGCTAATCTTCACAGAGGCCAAGTTGCGACAATTTCTAGCAATAAGTTCAAGGTCTTCAAAACTCACTTTGACCAGATCTGTCATATAAAAGTTCAAAGTCTCCATAACTGAGTTATTTACTGCAAGCTCATGAAGCCATTGACCATCTTTCTCAACAATTGAGCTCTCTTCCAGGAACAAGGTTTTTAATTGCCTGAGGAAACATATAAAGATATAAGTTATAAACTAGGAATTGAAAGGCAAAAATCCAGCAGTGCTCCAAACAAAGAGATCAGTAATCTATAGCTGCAGATTGTGAAAAAGAACATGTAAATACCACTAAGTACAGCAAAAATTGTAATGGACAAGCACAAGCCAAGCAGCAAAAATATTAAATATTGCTGCAACTTGATCCATAGTCGATATAATAGTCTATTTCCAACACGCAATCACCTGACGCCTGATATATTCACAGAAGAGAAAAGCAAACAAGTAACATACTAAACATACAGAAGTAAATCACACAAGAGAAATTACATGACCATCAAAGTGAAATAAACAACTAGATGGCAATCTCTGACAAACCTCACGTAAGTGCACAATGATGGGAAATAGAACTAAAATAACTAGACTTATGTCCTAAGGCAAAAAATGAATAAATAAATAAATAAAATTAGAATAGACAAGCTTCCAGAGTTTCAATGTTGATAACCACTAATATTACTCCAATAGATAACCAGCTAACACTTTTTCTTTTACTTCTTTCAGTTGGCCTATTCAGCACTTATATGCAATTCGCTAATTCATCTTAGGTTTTTAAATAGCTAAGAAACCCCTTTAACCGTAAAATCTCGAATCCATCTTCTTATCTCGTTACTCCCTTCTGACTACTCCAGATGGACAACAGCAGATGTATTCTATAAACGAACCATTAACGGGTCAATCAAGTAAAAACACACATCTATTGCTATCAGCTTCTATTCATTCATGCTAGAGTGCCTTACTGCTACCTCACAAAGCTTCATGATGTGATATTGCAATACTCTACTCAACTTCAAGCATCATGAAACCAAAATAAATTTCCACCATTGCTCCTTCCCTGACTTGACCAGACACTACCTCCTAAGGTTTCGAGATGTGACCCAATACAATTTAATGCAACTCTAAGCACTGCCGTTCTCCCCACATATGCGACAGCAATATTTCATCATTCATATAGCTATACCATCAGTTCTACAACCACACAATGAAGCGATTGCCACATCTATAAACACAGCGCTTACAGGGCTGAGAAAAAGGAAGATTTACCTCAACTTCAAACAACAGGAACATTTACAAATAAAAGCCATTGAGCTTGCATCGTAGTCTATTAGAATCTTTCAAATACTCTAACTGAGCAAGTAATATAGATACAAGAAAACTAAATGCTATCTTCCCAAGAAATAACCCAAGCCCATACTCATAAATCTAAGAAATAGTGAGAATTCTTACAATATTTCCACCAATTCAACTCAACTAAACTAAGCTTCAACACCCAAGTAGTTGGAAATGACTATATAAATCCTTGAACTCTATTCCACTCAGTTCAAGCCATATTTCTTTAGAAAGATGCCAAGATTCATTCCAAAAATATCGAATTAAAAAGACGAATTTCAACACGCTTTACAAGCAAAATTAACAATATTTAAAGCTCATAAAATTCAAAAAGAAACTAAAACCCTAAACTACACAAAAAAATTAAAAAAAAAACAGCAAGAAAGAGAATTACCGGCAGGAGCGGCCAACGTGCAAGAGACCATCAGTAGAGAAACCAGAGCATTTATCGAGCTTCAAAACCTGCAAAACTTTCCCTCTAGACCTAGCCAAAACTTCCAGATCCGAATCTCTAACAATCATCCTTCTAAAATGCAAAGATTTCAAGCAATTAAAATTCTCAGCTATCTCATTCACCCACGGCGTCACGTACCCTCCCCAATCCTCAGGTATCAAATTGAACATAGCCGCCCGAGGCTTTCCTTTCAACTTCAAAGATTCCAAGTGCCGGAAACGACGCCGCAACCGATCGGGACTCGTCGTGTAGCAAAGCGCGATCGTTATGTGCTTCCTCGTCAACGCGTCGAGCTCGTACCAACGTCGGCACACGAGGGAAACTGCGTCCCGGTCTTTCGGGTCGTGGATGTACGGCATCACGCAGCCTAAAACGACGTCCGACATACCGATAGGTGACGTCATCGTTTTGTTCATCTTGTTGTCATTTTCCTCCATTCAATAAAATCGAATCGGATCTTTTCAGCCCAAAAAAACCCGAAACGCGAAACGGCAATAAAAAAAAAAGACTGATCTGAAGAAGAAGAAACGGGAGTGGAACTCTTCTCGTTTACGGAAGTGGAAGAAACGAAACGACGGTAGGATCTGAAACGAAGCAGAATTCCCCTGGGGCTAAAACGAATCGGGTCAAAAATGGGTCGTGTAGAGAAGGCATGGCAGAGGAGAGAGCGCACACAGAAAAGTGAAACAGAGACGGAGAGCTGAAACTTGGAAAAAAAAATAGTAGATAAAGGGCAGAGAAGAAATGGACGGTGAGATCGACTGCAGATTGAAGATCTGACGTTGCAAAACAACATTACGGGATCAGATTCGGACAAGGGGACTCAGCTTATTATGCGGCTCTCGAATTTATTATAAAAATATTGGAAAAAAAAAGGGCAAAAGGAAAACGACAAAAGAAAATACTGTTGCACCCAATCAGGAATCATTAATGGGGGGTGAAAAAATATTTTATTAAATATTAAATTATGGGTGGGATATGACGTGGAATGATCCTATTGGATGTGTCAGCAAGAAATGGTACTCCTATGCAGTAGATTCCTTTGTTATTGGATCATATTTTTTGTAAAATTATTACAACGTAATTAATCGATTAATCAAACCCAATCATAAATTATATAAGATTTATCAAAATATTATAAATAAAATCTAGTTTTAATTAAGTAATTATAAGAAAAAATTGAAAGTAAAAAAGTGATGATTTTACATAATGTTTTTATAAATTTTTCTTACCATTCGAATCTATTGTTTTTATATAAATTTTAATTCAATTTTCTTATTCAAAATAAACTCCATTTAATAAATTTAATGAATTGTGTGTCGGAGTATTTAAAATATGCTCCAAACTCGAGTTTAAGCATTTCAGTGTGAATAATTGGGTTCCATGATCCAAAAAATAATATTTATCGTAAAATTTTATCTTATTGAATACATATTTATTTATAAATAAAATAATTTTAAAAAATATGATAGGTTTAGTTGACATTACTCGTGGACAAGTAACGTATGAACAAACAAGTGTTTATTAAAACCCATTAATTGAATTCCATATTAAAATCGATCACAAATAGTCGAATTAATTAAATGGAGTCGGGTATTTATTATATCTAACATCCAATTTGACATTGGGAAATAATTTAATTAGAACTAGTCACTGTTATGGGTCACATATCATGAATAAAATAAAAGACAATTTGGTCACAATTATTTTTGATAATTAACTAAAGTAGATAATTATAGCAAAGTAGAGTCAAGAAATCAATTTTCAATCAATAATTTATTTAAACGTGTTGTTCAAACAGCTCTCCTTTTCCCTTTTCAAGACAAAGAGAATCATGCTTAGCAAACCCTTTCAAATTGATAAACTTCATAAATAATTTATTCAATAACATAAAAAAATCACCTTAAAATAACATATTTATCGACACATAATAACATATTTGGTAAATTTAATTGAAAAAAGAGAAAATAACGATTTTAAATATATATACTTTTTTCGATATATATAAAGGGAGAGCATTACATGTTAGATCTAAAATTTTTCTACAAACAAAAAAGATCAAAAAACGTATGTATACGAATATATCTTGAGAATTTTACTAGATCGTTTCATCGGGAATTTTTATTTTATTTTATTTTGAAGTTTATTAGTATTATTATTTTTCAATTCTTCTAGAGGTAGCCAATAAAGTATAAAGAGAAGGGGTGTCCCTTTCTTAAATCAAATCAAAAGGACTTTTGGAAACTGATAAATAGAAAAAAGATGATTGATTTTTTTTTGTAAAATTTTTTAATAATTATATTAAAAAATAATTATCGAGATATTTTAAATTTTGTATTAATGTATAATCATAACATTTTTATCAAATGAGTCATCAATTACTAGGTTTAATACAAAAATATTACTTTAAAAAATGTCCTTAGCACACTCGGTAGCAAAATCCTATGCTTAATTTTCTAAAACAAATGTCGTTTATTTTATCAAAAATTAAAAATTTAAATATAGTGATGCATTTTAATCTATTAAGAAATTATATTCTACATATAGTAAAAAAAAGATATAAATATCTTAATAAACTCTTTAGCAAAACATTTTCGTTTGATTTATGAAAATATAGATTATTTATTTTATTAAAAATTATTTGAGGAATATTCTATTTTATCCGCATAAATAAAAAGCATATAATAATGTATTAAAAAACAAAATGCCACGTGGCAAACATTGACTGAAGGCTGTCAGCCAGAACAGATGACAGCTGTAACGCAAAGTATGGTTGTACGCTGAGAGGAAAAAGTCAGAATTAAAAGCTACGAATGACGTGGAGGCTGAGGTTCCAGGTTAGGTGACCAGATGTGTTAAAATTACGGAGCCAAGATCTAGGCTTATTACGTGGCACTCTTCCATTGGAGGAAGGTTAGCTTTTTTTGCTTCCTCTGAGCAGAGCCAGATGACACCTGAGGAAAAGGCCGCAACTTTTCGAAATGACTTCCGTGTCCTTTAGCTGCATTAATAATTTCCAAAATAAAAATTTATTTTTTTTACGATTTATATCTTATGTATTGTGTAAATAAATAAATTTAAAAATCGAGAATTTATAAAAATAAATATCTATAATTTTAAAAATAATTATTTTAAATTACTTTTAAACTTTTAAATTTATATATTAATGAGACAACACTCTATGATGAAGTAATTATTTATATGTATTATACACTTATCGTGTTTTTTTTAAAAATTTTTGTGTCTTAATCAATAGATTGTATGCAAAACAAGAATCTTATTATTTTTTTCAAATTGAAATTATAGGGTGAAAAAATTAAAGAAAATTTATGAATTACTTATAATCTTGAAAATATTTATGGGCATGTAAATATTATTTTTAAAAGAATAAAAAAATAAATTACTCATCTAACAGGTATAATTTAATTTAACAAATGGGTAATTTTAAAATATTATTTGTGATAAAGAATCCAAATATGTTCAAAAACTCAAACATCACATATCTCTTTGTCAATTGAGTTATGCTTTTTTCAATCATAAAATAATTAATTATTTTGACATTTGTGAGATCCACTTTATGATTATTAAATAATAATTGCACGTAAAATATTCATTCATTCACTTGATGTAATTTTAGGTCTTTTTGGTTACTTGCCCACTTGCCATGGCCTACTAAAGAATCCAATAGGATTATGATTTGCGGCCTATAGCAATAGGGAATTTAATTAATTATAAGAATAAATTAATTCCCACTCCAAAGTCTACTTTCCTAAGTTCAAACAATCTAGAAACTTTGCTTTCCATTTGCAATTTGTAGATTCTCAAATAGTCTTCGATAAATTTTAAAATTATGAATATTATTTTTTAAAAAATTTTAATTTAATTTTTTTAATGAAGCGATAATATTTGGTTTATTGATGATGAACAAAATCCATATATTGATAGTGTCTCGAATATAAAATTAAAAACAGTGGAATTATGGGTTAGGTGAACTTGAAATATTCATTAATTAATATCAAAATCCTGTTTGTCCAATTTGTTCTCTTCCTAGCCATATTTTTAGATTTTCTTAGCTATTTTTATATGAATTGAATTTTCAAGGATGACAAAATAAGGTGATTTGTAAACGTTTTGGTTCTTTTTGTTTGGTCAAAACTCAAGTTACTATTTTCTACCTTTGCATTATTTAATTTATGTATGCATAAAATCAATTCTCATCGATCGTAGTTATAATCACTGTCGTCGTTGCCATCGTTGTTATCAACTACCCTTCGTTAAGCATAATCAACTCACTAATAATTGTTTTTGACTTTTAGTATTTGATGTTTTTCATTATTACAATCATCAATCAATATCAATTGTGAATAAAGATTTGAATTTCAACGTTCGATGCAAGATTAACTACTTACAGAAGTAACTATAATTCAAAATTTAAAATTTTTTTTATAATGTTATAATATCTTAAAAAGCCCTTAAACTATTAAAAAAAAATTTAAAAAATTTTATTTTATTATTGCGTTTAATTGAGTCATTGTAGTTTTATTTTAAACTAAATAAACTCTTATAAGTAATGGTTAATTTAGTTAAAATATTATTTATCATTTTATATATCGTTATATTAACATAATATAATAAATGATGACGTAACATACTAATATGATATAATACCACAACCGTATGACATGTCTCACCTTTCACATCAACCTGGACATAAAAATAGTAAGTAGCATTTTAACTACTAACAATTAGTTAACTATTAATTATAAAAAAAATTTTTATTCGAAAAAAAATATAAAAGACTGATTGAATGTAATATAAAATTAAAAACTTATTTTAAGAGGGTTTTTTTTTAGCATTATACTTTTTATGATCAATGAATAATTAATCTGCCTGTCCAATTTTGAGATCACAGGAGGAAGATATTCTTCTAAAATATAATGTTATACTAACATTTAATTGGAATATAAAATTTGGGTACAAATTACTTTATGTAAATAAATGAAGGAATTGGCTTGAATTTCCCTTTGGCTCTAAAGGAAATGTCTCAATCCCAAACATGTTAGCCAAAAATGGTGGGGGGGACATCACATGGACTTTAAGGTGGTCCTGCACATAGATAACAACATGGTCCTTCCTATCGAGCTCACCTGTTTTGAATTAATAATAATAATAATCCAATGCCTTTTTTTTTATGAAGATTAAGACATTTTAACTGCTTTTTGTTATATTAGATTTCACTTCAATCATCCTGTCTTAGCTATCTATCTGTCTGATCATGTTTTTAGTTTGATTTTCTGTTGTTTCTTTGTTATTGTTATTATTTTTTTTTTTACATTGATTTGTTGCGGCGGGAGATTAGATGTTAAGGCATCGAGGAGGGGAAGATGCCATTACATGAGACAAATCTTTGTCTTTTGATTCAATGTGCTTGTTGGGTCTTAACGTAGGATAATAAAATTGATGGCAAACAGTTTTGAACCAATTCTCTTCTCTATTGTTCACCCATTTCAAAGTTTCGAAATAAAATTTTCGTAATAAAATCATAAATTTTAATCCTTACATTTAATATTTTTTGTGATCATGATTCAAGATTTTTTATTCTTTATCAAGCTTATACAAAATTTTTTTTATCTCGAATATTTTTTTTTATTTTATTTATTTTAAAATTACTGTGTAAAAATTTTATCGTTACATGCTATATATCCTTTACGATTATGATCCAAAACTTTTTATATTTTTTATTAAATTTTTCTATCCTTAAAAACCCACAAGAAACTTTTCTTCTATCGTGATCTACACGAATATTTCTTTTTGACTGTTTCTATTTCAAGATTTCGACATAAAACTTTTATAATGAAATCTCAAATTCTTATCATTAAGGACCACATGAAGCTTATAGCTCTGCCTAATAATTTGCTTCAACCTCTAGCAAATAAAGCTTGCTGTTTTAACACTTAGCTTGACAATGATAGATTAGATTGTGTCACAAAGATTGGACAGAAATTTCACCCTTATATCTATATGTGGCTAAGATGAACAAATGGCACCTTTCTCCTCTTTCTTCCATGGTGAATCTCACAATAACCATATATGATTGAATCATGTTTGGTCAATGACAATCTCTGATTGTCCTCTCTATCTAGCCACCTCTCATTTTGAAATATCTCAAAAATAGAAAAAGGGTTTTAGGTAAGGGAATTTTCCTGTTGTTGAGAGCAAAACCAAGCTTAATGCACAGCTGCACAGATCAATTGTCTAGCACATTTCTTCCTATTGATCAATGTTTAGGGTATCAATTTCTTAAGAGAGTTTCGATCTAGATTTCGATTCTATCATGGAATCATATCAACTAGTTAGGAAATTTCCCATTGCCGAAAGCATAACCAAACTTAATGCATAGCTCCATAGATCAACATCCATCATATTTCTTCTCATTTACTATGTTTAGAGTATCAATTTCCAAAAAAGTTTTGATCCGGATTATGATTCTCTCATGTAATCATATCAACTAGTGAGATGCTATATAACTAGGGGTAGAGCCAACTTAGCTTTAAATTAAAGGAAGCATCCAATAAGAAAACCCAGCAAAGGAGATTAACTTTTAACCTTTAAGCAAGGTGCTTCATTTTCTTTTAGCTCTTCCTTTAGGCATTGAAAGGCATAAAGCTTCTATGATAGCTCACAGCAGGGCCCAGCAATACACCATCAATCAAGCTAAAACTGATCAGTACTGAGTGAGAATAAAAACTTTTCTTTTGCTTTATTTCATTATCTTAAAAGACCCAATTTAAAAGTCATTCCAATGGAAGTGGGTTTTCTCCCAAAGATGAGAGACTTAAAAGCTCCCTTCCCCCCCCCCCCCTTACTTATGTTGGAATTTTAATTGTAGTGGCACTGAGGGAAAAAGCCATATATGTGGAGAGACACACCATTGGCTTTATTCCCCATCACTATAATTTAATAAGAGCATAAATCAAATTATATCGACGGAAAATTAATTAATTGTATCCGTCATGCATGTCTTTTTTTAAAAAATATATTCAACAATTTTGAATCAAAATTTTCATTCTCTTTCCATTTTGCTGCCTTTGCATTGAAGATTTGAATCCAAATACCATTCAGGCATTGATTTCAACACAAAAACATTTAAAGCTGTTAGGTGAAAAGATATGAGAAATCAAGCACATGAATTTCACGGAATTGAGAAAAGCATGAATCAAACTCCATAGATTTACAGCTATTTATTGCTCATTTCTTCATTATTCCAAATCCTGGGTATCATCTAACTTTTTGCTATCATTCACTACTCCAATTTGCTAGGTCCCAATGGAATTTTGGCAGTGCTATGATCTTGGGGAGATGCTATTCCTTTTTCTTCCCCAACAGGGTTAGTTGCTTTATGTAAATATATCTACACTAGTCTGCCATGAAGATCAGAAGATGCTGTCTCCATTTAATTTCACATTTAATGCGACATTTATAATTTTAAAAGGCAAAGCAGGCTGGCGAATCTATCTATCAAATTCCCAAAACATAAACCATTCACTCTTAGGTCCCCCTACTTCCCTAGCCAGAAACTAGAAAACCAAACCTGGCAAACTGCAATCCATTCTCTCTTTCCCAGTTACCATAAATTTAAATTTTAATTACATTTCTTTAAATAATATATGTTTTTACATAAACGAAATCTCAATAATATCAAAAGTACGAACAGTCTTTATTAATGTACGTAATCTCTGCAGTTATATTTTATTCATAATACTAATAAAAAAGCAGCTTTGGGTCAAATTTATTGCAGTGTTTGAATTGCTTGTGTAGAATCCTAACTCAAACCCATTATTCTTCATCCAACCTGTTGTGCACTTTAATTTCAATTTGAACAAATCCCTTAATTTTGGCTGACAAGGGTATCTTACCTTTAATAAATAAGGCACCTTCCCTTTCATGTCCCAAAATCTATTTCCCTTTTTCGGTTTTTTTTGGTAAGGTCCTTCTACTCAATCAAAACTAATGAATGAATAAGCTTTCATCATCTAAAAACCCAAAGTCTTCTCAGGCCATGGCACTGGCAGACAGACAGGTTAACCACAAGGGACCCTACCAATATCCTTCTATTTTACTCTGCCCTAAGGGGTGTGCCTGCCAGGCAAAGAGAGAGAAATGAAAGGGACACAGCCTGATGGACGTTTTAGTTGGGTACACATTTTTGAGCTTTGGTAGTAATTTTTATTAGCATTAAAGATGGTCGACGTTACTTGTATTATTGACAATATCGTAAATTGTATGTAACCTTAATTGTATAATTAACAGTATCGTAATTTGACAGTATTATCTATACAATTATACGAAGATATTACAACATAGTAAGACACATGAATGGTGACAATCATGTGGAAATGGCCACGCCAATTAATTGAATGGTTTGAAGAATTGATGGGGTTTTTTTTTTTCTCTTTATTAAGATAAAAGTTGAATGAAATATATTCGTGATTAATTTCGTTCAAATTTTAAACGTATATTAATAAATAAATAGATTAAAAATAATTTTTTCAAAAAATACAGTCGAATTACGAAAAAAACCCTCAACTAATAATGAAACTTATTCCAACTAAAGGGAAACTACAAAGAAAACAAATTCCCCCCAATGGGGTAAAGATTGGGGACTAATTACAATTAAAATTAACAAAACCGCAGATTCATATCTACAATTTTTCATTTAAGGAACAAAAAGATCTACAACAGGAAACAAAAATATCGATCACCGATTAATCGCTAGTTCCTTCCTCTCTCGTGTCAGAAAGTTTGGCACCATCTCCGTCTGAACAAGATTCATCCGAACTGCTAGATCCCACCTGCTTTGAGTCAGGATAGTCACAGCTGCTGCTACAATGTTTTACAAAACAATCTCCCATGGAGCTTGCAGAGAGTGTAACGAAACTCATGGCAGCAATGCCATCTGTTATAGCACTAATGTCTCTAGTTCCACCGTACAGGCCCCTGCTTCCGGCGACAAAGATTCCTTTGTTCTCATCAACATTGGTCAGAACTGCTGGAAACACATCGATCAACGGAGGGTTGTTCTGAGTTGAACCACTGATGAGCAGCCGGAGAGTTTCTCTGGCACCCTTTTCTACCATGGAATCGGTATTGGGTAACAATGGGTTCACGAGTTTAGGATGCAGTGGAGAAATTGTGGTTGAAATTGTGGGACCAGCACTAACCAAGTAACCTTGTCCTGAAGAGCAAACATCAATGACTGGAATATGAACAATGGGATCACAAATCAAAGGTGTGAAGGTGGGAATCTGCTGTGAACTTGCCATTGGCAATCGGACCAATGGTTCTGGGAGGAAAGCTGGAAAGTCCAATGAAGGAACATCAGCCAGATCAAGAGGTGGTGTTGGTTTCAACAAGCTGGAAGCACCATTCGCTGGCAATATTGAAGAAAGTGGTGGAAGCTTAAGAGATTCAATTGATGAGGTTGGGAACTCCGAAACAGCTGAGTGTTGCAGAGTTGATGATCCTGGGGGGCACCAACAATAATAGGGAGAAAAAAGAGGTGGTCCTAAGGAGGAAACTTGAGATACAGAACTTAAGGTTGGTGGAACAGCAAGTTTTCCAAGTGATTCCAACAAGTTTGGAGTGAATGAACAACTCTTGACATCTGGAAGCTTGTCATTTTCAGCTTGATTGCAACTTAATGAATCATTTGTAATAGGTGAAGCAGTGGTAAGGCTCTCACTCACTGAAAGATGGTTATCCCCACGCCTTCGTATCTTATCCCTGGCAGTGCTCCTCAGTGAAGACAAATTTCGTGTCAAACCCTCTTTGAAAGAACTTGATCTTGGACTTAAGCTACCTTGATGAAGTGAATTCACCTTGAGTACTTGGCTGCTAGAGTGGCGGTATCGCAAAGATTTTGATGCCATCGATGAAGATTGTCCATTGTGCACATCAATGGTGTCAAGTGGAGTATTAGGTGAACGCGAACCCGAACAACTTGCTTGTGTGTTACTCACTGCTGATCCTAGAAGATAGGCACGAAGCTGAACTGCAAAGCAGCCTAGTCGTGACTCGCTGATTCCAGTCAATTCAGCAATAGATGGTTTTCTTTTGATTAAATCCTTCATCTATCATGTAAAGAAAATATAATATTTATTAGTGAGAGAATTAAGAGTTGAATATCGATTGCTTAGGTGCTAGACTTGTCTAAAAAGAAGATTTAAGAAAATTCAAATTCATTGTAGGTATGCACATGTGCACTTGCACAGGACAATTGTTAATGACAAAATCATGATTACCTTTGAGAGCAATTCAACACCCAAGAGCTTTGACTTCTCTGAGCACCAATAGTAAAAAACTTTGCCATCAGGTATCTTCACAAGGAAAGATCGTCCAGAATTGTCTGCTGGGATCTCATTGATGGAAACAGCAGCACACTGAAGTTTGCAACTTAAGGTAAACAGTTGTTCTGTTTGACCATCATCCCCGACAAACAAAAGGCGCAAGTCAGATGTTGGCAAGAGTGTAAGACTTAAATTTCCCCTGTGTCAATTAAAAAAGATTGGAAAACAGTTTAGACTAAGTAAATAGGGCAATGGCAAGTACATATAAACAGCAATGAAAGAAGATTAAGTTATTAGCAAAAACATCAAATATGTTACATTACACCTTGCATGTGGCAAGCTGTGTGAGCAGTTTAAATCATCCAAAGAAAGCCCTAGCGGGAATTCTAAAAGGAAAGAAGACCGAATAAAGTCATAGCATAGATCACCTAATAAGATCTAAAAAAAAGGCAAAAGGAGAAACAAAGGTTTTGTAAGGACTGTTATTATTATGGATGTTAAGAGTAGGCTGAGAGCTTAATGCTGATGAATTTGTGGTGTCTGCAGCTAGCAAATAGATAAGTATCGCTGCAACTATGAAGCCTGAATAACAAGATAATATCAAATCCTTAATAGAAATTCAGTAGTATCTATCTCAAGAATCACATGATTCACAGAGTACCATCTGCCATGAACATTGACCCTGTAAAACTTAATATTTAGTTTTTGTTCTTAGAAAGAATTCAACAAACCAACAATAAGATGCTGGTGCTCAACACTTTAATTTCCACCCAATCTTACAACTTATATATTTTCCAATCATATCTTTTCAAGTATTCAGCAATTAAAAAACAATCTGGCAATCACATAACCATCTTACAAACTTCTTTAACACAAACATGGTCAAAAAACCGGACAGCTATAAGAGGTTATTATATATCCCCTTCCAGAATTTGATCAAATTCATGACCATAAAACAACATCAAACAAAACAATGAATGGCATTTATGCAGCAAAAGAATAACCATGAGGTATAAGAATGATATTGAAAACATACAGTTCAGATTTCAACAAAGTCTACAGCAAAATAATGATTTTTGATAATGGCAAAGCAGCATAACTGTCATTCATACAATATCATCAGCACTCAATCCTACTTATAATTGATTTATTGAATGTCAACCCTATATATCCACAAAACAGCAGCAACAAACTATATAATATAGGAGATGAAACTACCTTTACTTCCTCATAATTCAGAGATCATTATAGAATACGCCCACTTTACCTACAAGTCAAAAGATATATTTATTTGGAAGCATGAACATTTATCACCAACAACAAACTAAAATAGAACCCTGTAAGTTCTACCAACTATTAACCACTAAATATACAGCTTCCATTGAAATTATATGTGTAGGGTAAACCTGGTACTAAAGGACAAATTCTAACACATTAAATCCATTCAAGTAGTTGTTAAAGCAAAGCACTATAAAATCCATTACCTAGACTATTGCATCACAAAAATAAACAAATAAAAACAGGTCACTGTGATTAAGATATAATCCAACACTGACAGTGTACAATGGCAGAAAAGTAAATTGAAGCTCACTGATTCTTATTAAACAATTCGGTAACTTGACCAAGCCCAAAGATCAAATAAAAGAATCGGTCCTCAGAATTTAGCAGAGTAAAATGAAAAAATGCAACGGAATATGCCACTGGCAAACGTCAGCACGTATTAGCATATGAAAATACATGCCATGCAAACTTACAGGAGTAAACATGTGTGACATACTGCAAAAGACCAGAACATTTCTAAATCATGTATATTTTTAAACCAGCTGCCTGCATGGGATATTAAAAGCATTACCGTATAACATAATACAGTCAATTAATATCATCTTAATTCCCCAATGGAGACAGCAGTGGGAAAAAAGAGATGTACTAATCCAAGGTAAATTGTGCCAAGATGCAATATGATTAACAAGTATGAAAGAACAAGTAAATAAGAAAGCCATTTAATGGCATGTTTAATGAATATGAATTATCGATCCAAAACTAAAGAAAAGAAATGGGCATTTCTTATTGTAACCATATCTATAATTGGTCTTTGTATTTCAAACCAGGCATCAGCTACCTAATCTGATAATTCCAAAATTGAGTTAAGAAATCAACCATAAAGGTTGGAGAGAGCTGACTGTAATGATTGCATAAATTGTCAACACTTAAGCATATGGCTGTGCGACTATATGTTATACAATAACAACAAAATAAATAAATGATAATCATTAGCAACAAAATACGATATCATGCATCGCTGCATAAATAGATTGTAAATGCAGAGTTCACATAATTGCACCCAGGCAAATTCAGAGCAGATGAATATGAGATAAACCAGAGACTCCGATATCAATAAGAATTCAATTACCTTACAGCAGTAGGGCAAAAATGAGTCCCTTGTTTGTTAATCTTCCCAACTCGAATTGAAACCAAAGGTATGCAAAAACACCTCGCCAGCATACCAACTTCCGATGGCTCAAAGTGCTGAAAATTTTATTGAAACAAATAAAATTAAACACAAAAAGTATAAAATTCTACCAAGTTTTCATCTTAGAATTCGAATAATATCGCAAAAACTGAACTTCCGATTATATCCTAAAGATTTCAAACAATTACACCACTTGAAATTCCAGACTACTAAAAATACCTGACTCAAATGAGCTAACAATCGATCCTCGGCAAGGCCGTTTGAAACGTTGACTTTCAACAAAGGCTTTAACCTTTCGTCGGTTCGACAGGCGCCGATTACTTGCATATCTAAAGCTTGCAACCATTGCAGAACCCTATCTTCTCGATCGCTCTGTTGAAGCAACAAATCTCCGTCGTTTTCCTCAACGAATATGTCGGTTAATCGTTCGGTGAGTCCGATTTCATTCCTTATCTCACCAATTTGTCTCGAGGTTGTTCCAGATCCAACGCTAGAGGTCTCAACAACGCCGTTGATTGACGACGACGCGTCAGATGAATCGAACGATTCGTCGCCGTTTTGATCCACGTGGTCGTCAACAAATTCTTGGTTTCTTGAATTAGTCATCGTTTGAGTTTAAATAAAATTTTCACAAAAAGAAACCAGAAAAAAAAAAAACCCTTCAGAATCAGTTTCTTTCAAATTCTTCGATTTATCAAAGAAATTTGGCTTGATTAAAGACGTGAAGATCGAGGAGATCGAATCGCCAGTTTTCGATCAAAGAGCTTTAGAGAGAGAAAGGGAGGGGAAGCTTTTAGAGAGAGAACAAATATCTGCTTCACAACCGAATTTGTGTAAACAAAGAAAGATAAGGAAGAAAGCCTGGAGTCGGTTATATAAAAGAGAAAAAAATAAAAAAATAGAAAAAAACCTGGCGGACGTCAAGGTGCTTTACAAACTACGGTTAATTGTTGTCAGTGTTGAGATCCGTGCCTTGATTTATTGGTTAAAGCCCCACGTCAGCCTGTTTTTTTTCTTAATCCCTTAGTTGTGGGCCCCATTTGAATGGAAAATGCCACGTCAGGGCGGTGATAATGAAAGACTGACTTGTTAGTGACTTCCTGTTTGGGGACTCAGAAAAAGAAGAAGAAGAATGACAAAGAGAAAATTGCTTTGAAGCAAAAAATAATAAAAAGGGGCATGGAAAGGGACAGGTTTATAATCAACAGGGAATATTCGCGGCTTGAAGAGAGAACATTCAAATATAACGTACAGACCAAAATTAATTAATAAGTGAGCTCATCGATGGATTTTAATGTATATTTAAATTTATAAATGTAAACGTTTTGTATTTTGTTTAATTAATTTTTTTTAAAAAAATAACATTACAATGGAATATGAAAAATTATGAATTTCAATGAAAAATAATAGTTAAAGATTCTTATATAAAATAATCGAATTAATAAAAAAATAACTTAAACATAAATACATGAACCCTGCACATCTCAGCTCGAGTTAATGACTTATGACATATGCATTCGCTAGACCATTGAAGCTTGTTTTGAGTTTGAGCCTTTGTCAAATTGCCATGATGGCGATGACTCATACTTAGTGGTACTTGAAATTAATTATAAGATTCATGTTAGAAAATTCAGTGCAGAATTTAGGTAACCGTCCACGAAATATTAGTTAAAAAAATTTTCGTTCAATTATTTTTTATTATAAAAAATAAAATATCAATCAAATAGAACTTTTTTATATATTTGAAAAAAATTTGTATTCTATTGTATTCTTTTTAAAATGAATCAAATTACCTCACTCAAATTGTAATTTAACTGAAATTCTTCTAATAAAAGGTGTGGAATTTCCCTTTCAGCCGTTGAGTTTAGCTTCGAGCCAAATCCAATATAGGGGTCGAAAATAAATTTTAAAAAATGCATACTTTATATATAAATCATGTATTCTTTTATACTTAAAACATGATTTACTTATTTATAGCAATTTCAGGTAAAATAAGTATCAAAACAAATAAGCAAATCAATTAGTCATGCCGTACGATACATGGAAATAAATGTCTATAGTACTACCTCTTGGCTGTCATTAGCAGCTGCATCTGTTAGGCAGTAGCCGGGCTACGAAAGCAACAGATATCTGCAGTTGACATCCAAAGCTGGTCCTACTGGCAATTAAATTAGGGAATAGATGATAGTTACTTGCAGTTATTATCACTACATATAACAATGAAAAGCTAAAGATGCCAAATCTTTTCATTTAGCAGAAATCGCTTTTGACTTACGATGTACATTGTCTTCTGATTTTCAGGCAAAGTTGATTGTTTTAGTTCAAAAATTTCAACACGAGACCAATAATTCTAGAGAATATCTATATCAAAGTCACAACATGACCAGAATTTACTGTCTAGCCAGTAACCTATCAAAGCAAGCCTTACTGTCTAGATCACTTCTTTTTCTTTGGTTCCGCTGCATAATCATTTATAAGTGCTTCAACATCTTTCCAGAATAGGCCCTCCACCAATACACCATCCTTGGTAAACCTGCAATAATTTGACAGGTCAGAATTTAAAGGACTGTAGCTGTGCAAACATGAGTATGAAGAGCGAGAGAAGGGAGAAGGAAACAGGAGATACCACTGGGTAACACTTTTGGTAAACTCTACTGGTTTCCCTGCAGATATTGACTTGGGATCTGCACTTGCTATACTAAGTGTATAGAGATCAGAAAATCTTGGCAACTTTGAGGAGACCACCAAACCGGTGCTGGTGACAGATCCCTGCAAATATGGAATCAACACTTAGATGTAGGAAACAACACACACACGGCGTTGCGCGCAAGCCCATATGAAGGGCATTTTAGGTATTTAAAAAACTAGGTCCATTGGTTAGGGCGGATTTTATCTTTTAATATGGAAAGTTCCCTTTAGCCAAAGGCACACTAAAAGCATATGCCCATACTATGTACAACTCTTTTGAAAGACCATAGAGGCTAGGCAATATGTATGTTGAGTTTGTAGAAGAAATATAACTACCTTGGGCAATATTCAAGAATCTAGGTATCTATTGGGACACTAGGCATTATTCCACATCATTACTCTAAGCATAAAGCATTTGTAGACTAAAGAAAGGCAACATTGCAAAAAGTTAACGATGAAATGTAATGGTTTCACTACAAAGAACACACAATAAAAGTGCATAAAGTCATTAAACTATTTCGGTTTTTTTTTTTTTATGGAAGAAACTCTTATAAGCAATATGGCAGTAGAATGAAAAGCATAGAACTGAGCTAACGATGGACAAAAAAAATGCATAAGAATTAAGTTGCTATCCTTCAATTTCGTGGATGATGCAAATACTTTCTACCTTTCTAATAGAAACTTGGCCTCAATGTAAGATGACAAAAAATTTGCATTAAAAACTGCCAAACTCAAGCCTATATCATCATGCCAATAAGATAAAATAAAGTTAGATGGTAATCTTGAGAATCAGTAAGCATGCAAATGTTGAGGAAAGTTCCACATCATGGGCTTAGGCACAGCAAGACCCAATTCCAAACTAATCACACAAGAAGATAATCTCAGCTTAAAGGGGTACAAAATCAGTGCATAGCACAATATATTAACATAACGAAATGTTTGATTAGAAAGCAAAGGAACTTACAGTAGGAGGATATGTGAATAGAATTGCATTCTTTTCCTTTGTGTAGATGATCAGCTGGAGTAATCCATTGAAAACTATATACTTGCCAGAGTCAAGGATCAAAGAAACGTGAAAGTAACATAAAAAATTGACACAATTTGGTTGCCAAGAAAAGCATGGAAAAAAAAGGAAATCAAGATGGAATTTTTCAACCATCTTGTTTTAGTAGTACATCCACTCTGACCACATGGTTTCAGGCACTAAGCATTAGAAACTAAAAAGAAAAGTTTGTCATCTTTTTGGTCTCTATTCAAAGGTTAACACAAAAAACCCAAGACGGTAAATTAAGGTCAGTACAAGGTGAAAATTTCTTCCTCAAAACTCTTAATCACCCAAAATAGTTTTCACAGTATAGTTGGGAATTTCAACAAGATTTAGTTTCACAAGGCAAAGTTTCAAAGGAACAAAACAAAAACATATACTTAGAAGTCAGAACATATGTGAGACTAGGATTCGTTGTCACTCTAAAGATTACAAAAGCAAATACTATATCTTAACATAATAACCAAATTTTAATATTTTAACTCATGTGAATAACAAAGAACCTGATTTCACCTTCATATGGCTCAACTATGTATAGATATGTATTACATTTTATCCATTTGCTCATTTCAATAAATACGATTTCTCATATTACTCTTTGCTTTTAAAGTAACAAACCAAACAGTGCCTAAACTAGTTTCTTTCCAGTTTATCATCACAGTTTCAATTCAATTCAGAGTAAACCAAAACATTCCTCAGTAAACATCAAATTCTAATAAAAACAAATGATAAAAAGGATATAATACGATGCAGCCGATGAGGAAATCACGGTTCTCAGGGAACTTCTTTTTGTAAAATTGAGCGAAGAGAGCGATTACAATTATAATCGTTCCAAGCAGTAATCTGACATTGCTCATCCTCGCATCTTCAACATATCCACGACTCGTAACAATCTTGTTTAAAAATCCAAAATAAATTTTAAAAAATAGAGATAATTATTCCAAAATTGAGCAGTAATTGTGTATATTAACGGATCTAGGGTTGTTTTGGTTTTTTTTTTTCAATTTTTTTTACCTCAGAGACGGATTCGTCGAGGATGTGTTTGATGGAGTGGTGATCTAAGAGATTCGCCTTCTTCGCGCTTTTGGTTCCCGTCTCTGCCTTCTTTTCTTGCATTTTTGGTTTTCTCGGGTATGGAAATGGCGCTGCTGGTAAGCTTGAGACGAGACACAGCAGAGAGCTTCGAAGTGCAGCAATTAAGCCATGGTTTATAAGTTGACGTTACGAAGGACCGGAACGGTGTCGTTTCATGGTTAGCCCATTGGGATTTTTTTTTTATTTTTCATTTTTAGTCAATAATTCGTTCTAATAAGAACTTAAAACTTTCCATATTTAAAATTGAAAATGTTAAATTAAAACTTTCATATTTAATTTTTCGTAGAAAGAATTTAGTTAAGATTATAGTTTGGAAAAAAAAAATTCTCGTTTATAGACGAGAAGACTATATTCTATGATATATTTGGTACTATTTCTTAAAGTGTAGATGTGCTTTATACACGAGATGTCCCCGAAATGAAAGATGAATAAAGAAAAAGAGACAGTAAAAGTATATATCATTTCCCATCAATATTTCGTTTCTTCCCGATACGAAAGAAAAGAAAATACGTTAATTCTTTAGCAAAACGGAAAATTGAACCATGGACCGTTTTACACAGAAAATTCAAGGAATAAGAAGGAACTATAGAATAAAATTTTGAACTGTATATAGAACCATATAATAATTCATTTCAATAAATAATCATTTTAAATATCCCTTTTATTTCAGGGTACATGCCTGTCAATGCTATAATCCAATTTGAATATTTTCGACCAACACAACTCACTAGTGTTTCAAATAAATAGGAGTTGGAGGGCCAGATGGGAGTGAGCGCGGGGAGTTTCAGTCAAGGAGGCTTGGATTTCACGGTGTTGATCCTGCCCTTTATAAGCAACAGTCGAGCACCCCTGACAAGTTCCTCTTTAACCATGAACAGTACAGCAGCAGCGAGAACACTTTGAGCGATTTTCGTGCTCATACCTTTGTAAAAGCCGGAGAAGCCTTCGTAGCGGATCATCTTCAGAATAGCATCCAGAGTCCCTATATTGATGCACATGATGGGAATAGAACAAATTAATTCAAAGAATAGAAGAAACACCAAACAAGCACAATTTGCATTCATCGAAACCCTGCTATAGAATTAGCCTTGATCCTCTACATGATTTCATCATCCTGTTTCGTTTTCCGACAGAACCAATGCCAAGGCAACAACCTTACAGGTTGCTCGTATTAAGTGTCATTCACCAGTCAATATCATCAATAGAATAGCATAGTTAAAGACCCTGAAGTTTCGAGGTAATAGTGAAAACATTCATATCATGTGAACTTCACCATAATGAGTCATACCTTTGTAATGATGCCTTCTGTCGCCAGTTGTAACTTGCTTTGCTTGAAGTCTTGACTGAAAAGGCAACAAGGAGATGGATAAGACATTGATTCATTTGTCGAGAGACAAATATAAGGTTATCATGACCAATGCAAGGGCCATGGATTGGAGCTATGATTTTGGCAGGCCATAGGATTTTTCTTTTTCGCTAGTCTTATAATACTCGTAATGATTCTTAATTCCTTTATCCAATTTTGATTGATTCATGATGGACAACTTGTTTTTTCATCTAAAAAAAATGCACTTCTCCATGTCATATGGTCCATACCTTTACAACAAGAACAGGATATGTCACAGCAGTAGCTCCAAGTTTTGCCAAAGCTCCAAGAAGAAATATCTAGCATAATTGGACAACTCACTCAGAGATTAAAACTAGAGAAAGAAAAGACATTTGCAAGGAACACTGACATAAGAAGATGACATAATTATCAGTAAAGTAACAGAGATGAACTCAGAGCCAACCTCCAAAGCAGTTATTCCATTGTTTCCCTTCTTACGAAGAGATCGTCTTTTCTTCAGCTTCTTCAACATCGTTTCATACAGCATAAATTGTATAGAAGGATTGCTCACCTGTGAGTAACAGCAGGAACAATCAGTGATACTCCCTTAGCAGATGTAATAGTCACTTCTCACATACCATGATCAATGATGGGAATACACCTTTCCAGAAGCCCCAAAATCCAGCTTCATCATAGACCTCTTGAATCTGCAAGTATTCCATATCCAAAAAAATGTTACAAAAAATCTTGCATTTTGGTTGACATCAACAACGAAACAAAATTTCAAAGTAATTAATCCAAATCTTTGACATATTTATGAGTATTGACCATGCAAACATAATGAACAAATCTTCATGTCCAAACAATTAGAACATTCAGATGATATAATGTGACAAATATTTGCACTGCATTCCAACTTCATACACATTATTCTCAAGCAATCAATTTGGCAATCACTGATTTACTCTCCGACCTTAAGTTCTTAACTACACTCACTACAAATACATACGTTAATTCTAAAATAGTATTTCCACCGGAGATAACTTGTATGAGCTTTAATGCCTTTAGTTAAGTACATAAGAACCATATAAAACAAGCAACTGTGCTCACCACATGGCTAGTTCCATAAGGAAGAGGCTCAATAACAGAAAGCACTGTTTCCTCCACAGCAGTAGTTGTCGACCTATCAGAATGGTCTTTCTTTAAGATTTTTTTGTGAGTCTGCAGCACAACAGTTGTTTGATTAATTATGAACAAAAATGAAAACTTAAAAAGAAATAGATGCCTTCAAATTGCAGCGCATAATTCAAAACTTTAAAGAAGTACAAATCTTTATATGTGATCTAAAACAAAAGCGCAGATGCTAAGCAATAACAAATGTTAAACATACTGATCAAGAAAATGTAATTACACCCAAGGGGCCATATTACTTGACGCTATTCTCTCAACGTATAATTCTGGCCTGGGAATCTAGAATAATTAGAGAATTAAGCCATTGGCCTAGATCCAAAGCACCACGCTTATGTAATAGATATTCAGCTATAAACTTCTTTGTGGACTGTGCTAAGAATGCATATATTAAAGTTCTTTCTTTCTATGTTTTACAGCAAGAAGCCTTCTGTAATGCATATTTGCTTTTTACCTGCATGCGTGTCACAATGACCCAAATGGGGGTTGTCAACAGCACATTTACACACCTACACAGAGAAATGATTAAGCATAGTTTAGCTCACACGTATATGGGGAAGAAAAATTTACTGCTGCAATTGCGGATATCATTTATAAGAAATTTACACAATTGCTTCACAGTTTATGACAAACTTTCAAAAAGTTTATAACAGGCAATCACATTGGGTGCACCATTAAAAAAAATAAAACTAAATTACCCAGATAAAGCAGCTACAATAAGTGACGAAAGCACCCCAACTGATCCATCACCAATCCCTTTTTTCTGGCGTTCGAGTGCTGTAGCTTCAGCTTTGTTCCTGAATATTTGATAGAAATAATAGTAAACACCCTGCACCATAGAAATAGTAAGTATTTATAAATCCATAAAATCCAAACAAATAGAATGGTGCAAATTTACACTGTCACTTTACAGATAGAGAAATCAGTTTATCTAAACTAAAAGCATGCAATCCACTCTAAAGATAGACCAGTAAGAAAGTCCAGTTCACGAAACAATCTATAGATGTAATTAAGCAACAAAAAGAACTACATGGAAACTATCCTCCAAAGAGGTCCCAAGATAAAGATCAGGAATTCTATTTAGCTCAATAGCATCTTCAAATCAATAAGAACATATGAACACTAACTTGTATGGTAATTAATCTCAATACTAATTTCAGTTTGGATTTTATATAGTATTCAGCATATCGAACTCTTAGAAATATTAACAAAAGTAAAGAGTGGAGAAAATTTCTAAAGAAAAATCTGGGAAAATTACAAACTTTCCTTGGTTTCAATGCAAAACTAACATTCAGTTCATTTCAAGTATTCTTAAGTTCACAAATCCACTTATCTTTTCTCCCATCACGCTCTCAGCAACCAATCAAAGCAATAAAACAGTACTCAAAACAACAAGCAACAAAAGGAAATACTTCTCAGCATTATTTCTTTAATATTTACTTTCATTTTTTTTTCCACTTCCCACTTTCCTAGTTCTCTAGCTAAAGCAATATAATAGAAAGGACATTTGTGCTAAAAATCTAAAAGGTCTCACCTGAGATGCAGCTGTACCAACTAAAGAAGGCGTTAAGCCTCCATACAACCGTTCCCATCCTTCTTGATTTACAACCTACTCACCAAGTAAGCAAATCAATTTCAACACTAAACACAAAAGATTAATACAACTCGGTTCTATTTTTGATCTTACTACTTGCTTTCCGCCTTATGGAAAACTTGCTAAAATGCAAAAGCACAACCATAATTGATCAAAGATAAACAAATAACTAAGCTACAACTACAACAACAATTTTAGAATAATTCTTAGTAGTATTATTTGCTTTTCTATCCAAATTCAAACGGTACCTAACTCACAAGGCTCAAAAATTGAACTCCGTCAACATAATCCGTTAAATGTTCAGAACGTTCCGTTGACTATAACGTGAAACCATAATCTAACCAAAAATTGGAAAGAAATAAGTAAAAAAACAAAAAGACCTGGCACATTTGTTGAATGGTTCCGAGTTTCCGTTTCTCTTTCTTGAGATCACGCTCTGTTTGTTGACGAGTATTTACCTGTTAGATCAAAGCAAAAGCAGAACAAAAATATTTACATGAAAAATAAAGAAAAATAAAAAGGAAATAAAAGAAAAGAAAAAAGAGAATCTTACAGTTTGAAGAGGATACGTGATGAGCTGAGCTATGATCCCTCCACCGGCTCCCGCCAGTCCATTGATCAAAGCGTCCGACATCGTTTTCGCTCCCTACTTTCCCGAGAAAATCTGGTGTTCGGATTTAAAAAAAAAAGGCAGAGAAAAAGAGAATATAAAAGAGATCTAAACAAAGCTATCTCTGACTTTTGGCTGTAGCGAGGGAAGCGTATTAAGACATTTTGCGGGGAGATGGGGGACCTTCCCGTTTGGTTTTTGGTTCCTAGTTGTTCCGTTCAAGAAAGAAAATGAAAGGGAACGGAGAGTGTAATAACTCACAAGTGTTATAAACAAAAAATATTATAACATCGAGTCGATAAAACAATTTAATTTCATTTAAGTGCAATATGTCTATCTAATGTCTACCCGTACTACAGTTAAAAGATGGAGTAATATTTACGAAACTAATGAATATTTTTTTCTTGATTTTGATGAGAACAATATTTAAATATAACATTTCTTTTGAAATTTGGTAAACCAAACAATATTAAAGTGATATTTAAATAAATATTGAAGACATGTGTTAAAAGGGTATTTATAGAAAAGTTTTTATAATTAATGTATTAATTTTTTTTTGAATTTGACGAGAATAGTGTATTAAATGAAAATATAATTTCAATTAAAGTTAAAATGCTGAATAAATCATTGAATTATTATTATATATATTTTTAAAAAATCATCATTTTATTGTATCTAAATAACTTCATATTTTTATGATTTTTATCTAGATAAACATTTATATTGATAAAAAGATGTTATTTAGCACATATGACATTATAATCGACTAGCATTCTCAGTATTTTATGATAAATAACATGACTTTTCTAACATAATAAAATTGATTGATTATAGTAATTATGTCTTAAAGGAAAATTGTTCGTACTCAATCAAACTCGTTATTTAACAAAATCTACCAAAAAAATAACTATCATTTTATTGTACTCAAATAAGTTCATATTTTATTATTTTTATTCTAATAAAAATTTATGTAGATAAAAAAATGATACATGACATACATAGTCTTAATAATTGTTAATCTCGACTAATATCTTCTACCCTCGTAATAGCTTACACGATTTTTTTAACCTAATAAATTAAATGCTTATAATGATATGTGTTAAAAAAGAAAAAAATTTCTCATTCAACCAATTTCGTCATTTAAGAAAAGTCAATTCAACATTTCAAAACAGAAATAAGAGTATATTTTCTCTAAATATTTCTTTTTATACTAGAGAGTACTATTTTAAAAATAAATTATATTTAAAAAATCAATTAAGGTCCTAAAGCTATAGGATATACCATATAGCATCTAGTGACCTTAAATATTAATATAGATTATCACTTACACTTAGTAGTAATTTGTGTTTTCATTTCCTATCATTTATACTTCATGCACCCCAAATTCAATGCCAGTTAGGCGTCGTCCGCCTCGTTTAAAGCCAATTTGACCAATCTGTCCTCCGTTGTTTGATTTAACTACAGAATTGTCCTCATTGGAAGTGTGCTGAGTCAGTTGAAATCGATGCTGTATCGGAGTAAAATACTTAAAAATAAAAATAATTTATAATATTATTATTTTAATTATTTTTATATATTTATTTTTCCACAAAATTAGTCGCTAGTATTTTTTTAACAAACAAAATTTAATTATTCAAGTAAATTATGCCTAATAAGAATTCCCAATTAATATTTATTAGACATAATATTTTTTAAAAATAAAACTATTTAAAAAATTCAAATAAAATTGTAATTTTTTATGTTTAATAAATTTTTATATTGTTATTTTAAATTAAATAAATTTTTATAATTAATAGTTAATTTATTTTTAATGTCATTTATTATTTGATGTTACTTGATATTGATATAATACTCTAACATGTTATAATTATTGATAATATGATATATTGACATATTATAATTAATAATAACGTAACATAATTGCATAACATAAAGATATAATCATACAAAAAATTTTATCCTACACATCAGTATAATATAATTGTCACAAACAATATTTTAATTAATAATAATTAATTAATTATTAATTATAAAAATTAATATAAGAATTTGATAAAGAATAATGACTTATATAAATTTACTTTAATAGATCAATAACTTTTTCGAGCATTGTGTCTATTTATTATTACAACTAATATTAAGTATCAAAAGAAACCCTAATTATAGACAAATATTAAAGACTAATTATAAGCACTTATTAAGATGTTATTTATAGAATATTATTACAATTAATATATTGCCTATACTTGAAATTGGCAAGAATAATGTATTAAATACAACAAAAATACTTTTTAAAATAAAATTTCAACAAACTTTATCTAGTAATAATAATTAATAGACATTTAAGCAAATTCTAATCCAATCTAAACTCTATACAAAGACTTCCTTTTCGACTTAAACTATTTCTAGTCACCTTTATACTATTAACTAGCCAGGCCAGCCTCCTCTCTGTTCCTGTTTGCCTCTTCAACTCTCTATTTTTCTCAAATCAGAGATCATGGTGGAATCAAGCCATAACCTATGGGTAATTTTCTTCTAAATAATATTTTCCATCTTGTTTTTTCTTTTATTATTGTATAATAATTATCGATAAATTTCTTTGGTTAATTGAATAGCAAAAATATGTCAATGACGAAGCCATAAATTTTTTTGATTAATTGAATAGTAAAAGTAATTCAATGATAGAGTTAAAGCGGTGGTTGTTATTCTCAATTTTTAATTTTAATTTTTTATTATTATATTTATAAAATTTGAAATATATAATATAATTATTTTTATAATTATATTTTAGTCACTTTTATTATAAAATTCTGAATCTACTATGAACTTGTGAATGACGAACTCCTTAATTATGATTACTTTTAACTATCTTTATTACAAAATCTTAAATTCGAGATTGGTGACTACTTGTCTTTTGAGTCAAAACCCTATTTGAATAAGATTTTGAATTTTATGTTTCTTAATCAATAAATTTAATTCTTATATCAAATAATGGATTTTTATTTTTTATTTTTTGTGTAGATTGGCAGGGAGAACAGAGTTGAACAGGTTAACAGGTTATATCCTCCTGCTTTTATCAGAAATTTCAGAAAAGAAGGGCAAGATGTTAAACGAGACTACATTCTGATACTAACCATTCACAGTACGGAAGGCATCGACCCACCAAGCCAGTACCCTGGTGTGACCAGTAGGAACTACCGAGTCGTCGCAAGTATCCACCCTGGAGCCCATTACCTGACAGAAGAGGCTGAAGGGTACCCGGACGTGATATGGAACCAACGGTTCGACATCCCATTGAAAAACCGTGTGCCGCTGCAATCCAATTTCTTGAGACTGGAAGTCATCAGGGTGCGGTCTAAATGTGACCCCGGGCCTTCCAGGGGCGTGGTCGTGGTGGGCAGAGCCGAGGTGCCATTCCCTAAAGAAATAGGGGAAAGACAGTGCACTAGACTCGGACTCGCCAGGTTCGCTGAAGGTGCCGTTCTGGGTGAAGGGCATATCACAGTTTCTATGAAATTAGTGGAAAATTTAAGGCACACCGCTGAACTTGTTGGTAATTAGGAGTTTATGTTATAGAAATAGACTAATACTTTCTTTCTTCTTTGGACGTGACTCAATTTAATTTCAATGAGTTCAAGTATTTTAAAAGATACTAATCTTTATTTGATTTAATGATAAATCAATGTTATATATGAGTATTTTTTGGAGCCGACAAAATCACGAATATTTTGCAAAAATAATGACAAGAAAAGATTATATATACCGAGAATTTAACGATTTTTATAAATTTTCTTACAAATTTGATCTTTCAATATTTTACAGGTGTAATTTGATTTTTTAATATTATTGTTGGTATTATTTTATTATAATTTGTGTTCTATCTTATTGTAATTTTATGCATATATAAATATATCGAGAATTCAACCAATTTTATTGTAATTTGGCCTTTCAATATCCCATAGGTGTAAGCTTGCAGTATTTTATTATAATTTGTGCTCTTATTATTGTAATTTTATGCATATATATCAATAATCCAACAGACTATCAAAGGGTGTTGATAGAAAATTATCATGTACTTGTATTTAAAAAACACCCATAATGTTAAGTTGCTAATTATACTAAGTAATCAAATTCAAAGAAATCTTAGATTTAAGAAAAGGTGTGGATAATAAACAGACAAAAATATATGCCTTGGATGCTTTAGTTACTTTTCCTGTTTCCCTTGCTTAGGAGAATGTATGCTTTGTTGTTGTCAAACAGAAGGAAAAGTTAAATCATCAAATAAAAGAACAAGATAGTACTGAAGTAATTGACTTTTGACTTTGTGAACCAATGACATTTCGCCACGTCCCATTGGAAGCCACGCTCAATTCAACAATAAGCAAGGTTAAAGCCGTCATTTCGTTGCTATTACTCTTTTCTCCTCTTCCCAAGCATCCGTCTCCCCCATTCTCCACATCCTCTCCATCAAAAAACATCCAGCTATCCTGCGCACCCCTTTAGGCGTTGCACGTTAGCATATCGCCGCCATGGCCGCTTCCTCTCGACCGCCGCCCCCAAGGCTACTCGACCTCGATCTCACGATCATCTCAGCTAAGCATCTGAAAAACGTCAACTGGCGAAACGGCGATCTCAAGCCCTACGCGGTCTTCTGGGTCAATCCGGACCGACGTCTCTCGACCCGCTCAGACGATTCCGGTTCAACTCGACCGGTCTGGAACGAGCGTTTCACCCTTCCCCTCGCTGTTCCTCTTCACGATGCCGTTTTGACCCTTGAGATCTTCCACTCCAAACCTTCGGAAACTCCGAAGCCTCTGGTGGGAACCCTCCGGGTTGAACTCAAAGAATTACCCGACCCGGAAGACGGTTCCAAGATCCGGACCTTTTCTGTCCTCCGACCCTCTGGTCGTCCCCAAGGAAAGATTCGCGTGAAACTCGGCATCCGCGAACGTCCCTTGCTCCACCTCACGATTACCATTTTGCCCCTCCTAGCTATTATTACACAAATACCCTCCTCCACCAAGGTACTCGACTTCGCCTTACGTGTCTCTTCCCCCCCACCTCCTCCACAGGCAGCATCTCCTCCTCCTCCCCCGCCGCCTCCCCAACCGTCAGCCTCTCCTCCTCCTCCACCGTCGTACTCCATCCCGGACGCTTACTCTCCGATTTTCTCCAGCCACTACTATTCCTCTCCACCACCGCCCATGCCTCCACGCCCCTTCTTCGAACGGT